TGGAGAGATGAATGGATTGTATCTTAATCAGATTTCAATGGGAATTATTTGTAATTTCAAAAATCCAAACTGAACGACTGCGATATTTATAGTCACTAGACGACTTACCATATAATGTTCGGAAAGGTGATCTTGATGGTGTCACCCAGATTCTGGCTGGCTGTTCTCAGGGCCCTTGGGTGCCAGCCGGTGTTGAATGCAACTTGGGAGCAGTTGCAGAGTCCCAAAGGCACACTTTGTAGAAAAATACACGAACGAGGAGCGTTCACAATTATATACGTACGCGTATTTTAAACCGAATTCAACTTACAGTGCAAGAAAAGATCCTGAATTTCAGGGCGAATGTAGCGAGCGAAATTAATAATGAGAAAACAGGTAGGTATCTGAATGCCGGTAGAACTCTCTCCTCGTACCCGGTTCAGGAAGTCAAAATGTTCTTCGGTAGTGGCGCATGCGCCTGGTCGCCTAGTGACATTTAAGCAATTTTAAATTGAAATAGATACATTTGATATGGATAAACATTATTGACTATATGTTTTGCATATTAGGGACGAAGAATACACAACAATGGATTTGTATTTGTTTATGCAAAGCAGGAAAATCTGGGTATTGTAAATATGTTGTATCTGTTCTTTTATTTGTCAATTGATTTGCTCGTCATAATTAGTGTGAATTGTTTGAACTATCTCCAATTCTTCACCCGTTCACTGTTCACTAAACTAATAAAAATGTAATAATGTGAACAAATTAACCAACTCAACCATCATCGCACTACCAACAGTGCCAACACTTTATGTCATTGAAAAGTTTGACTACAGCTACAGCAAGCTGAATGCAATGTAGTCTATGCACTTTATCCATAGACAACAGTTTGTTTTCCCCCAGTTTGAAGTTCGTATTATGTAACCTAGATGTTGCCCACTTCGTGAATTTCGCGAATTGAGAATATTTGGACTTGAAAATGTCAATTTCATCAATGCATGTTGAAGTTATCACCGTTACTTCGCATTCTTCGCGATAATGCTCAGGTGTAAGGTGTTTTAGTGTTTAGACAGTTAAATGTTTTGTTGAAGTTTCTATAAGTTTTAAAGAACTAATTTTGAATTGAAACGAAGAGTTCCGGACAAAAACTCATCAATTCATATTAGAATATTGTGAGATATCACCTTCTGAAGTTTGTCAAAGTACTTCTAAATGATATGAATCCAGCTACGTCTATTGCGTCTTTTTATTGTAAAAGTCGTCGCAAGAGCCACAATTTTGTTACGGTCCATTGGCAATGAATGACGGTACTGACTAACTGACCGGTAGGTGTGAAAAGACTATACGATTTTCGAAAAACCATCCGGAGAGCGTCCGGCCAGTCGCAAACGGTGTGTTTGTTAACGGCCATACCCATCATCGTTCTCGGTCTATTACTTAGTAGTAGAGGATCCCAAGTAAAGGTCGACCTTCACTCATCTGCTTGCCGGATGAAATGGTTATTTGTTTTACTAGGCAGAAAAGTACAAGATTCAATGCCGCGGCTGGCGTTTCATAGCTTAGGCGTTGCCGAGGCTAGGAAAACAGCCAAGGCATTACATCTTCTTTTCTGCCATGTGACATATATACATTTTTTTCCAAATTCTTTTCAGTTTCACGCGAAGTCCAAATAATCCATCATTTTTTGTTCACCACAAGTCATTGTCAATTTTGATTATCAATTTGATTCAAATTACTTGGAACATTGCATAGCAACAAACTTTTTCTCCCTAGGCAGTAAATGTACACCTTTTCTGCATGTTAAGTGTCATTAAAAAGCCAATTTTAGTGCCATTTGGAGAAAAATTATATTTTTCTGCAACCGACACCAAAGTCGTCCATTTTGATACCAAAATTAGCTCTTAAATTGACGTTTCTATTACTGACACAAAAATAGGTATGTTGCTAGGCAACATATTTAGTTCCTAGGAGCTAAAGTTGAATTTTAGTTCCTAGGAGCTAAAGTTGAAGGATCTACTGGACATCATCAAGAATAAACAACATTGTGACGGTTGGTTATTTGGGTTGAGACGCATACCAGATTTGTTTCCGATTTCAGCAGATTAGGCATTTCCTACCGATGCTGGAGATATAAATACACCTTATTATAGTTTAGTATTGGAATTATAAACATCTCAGTTAAGTATTTTTGTTTTGATCAGGGAAGCTTTCAAGGTTCAAATACTTGCTTGATCTGTATTTCATTCGTTATTCTAGGGATGGATAACTTGTTTTTGAATTACCACGGCAGGCAATAGTTTTTTTTTTCTCGAACAACGATATTGTCCACCTTCATTTGATTATCAAGCGAAAAACATTGTATTATGGAGAGGAATAAATAATCGCTATTATTATTATTGTTGATATGCTCACTAACCTAACATTTTCCACGTCTTGTTCCTATAGCTGGCACTGGCGCGGTATTTGCCATTTGAGAACCTGGTCCATACACAAATATGTTACTCTGTGGTTGTACTTATATTGAAAATACATGTCTAACATCCTAGAAAACCTAACCTGCTGTTAATGCAGGTAGAATATTCTCACCACATGGATTATTTGTCAATATTTGTTGCATTGCATACATATGGCACGGCATTGGTGGTTACTTCACATGTTTATTTGAGCTAATTGTTTCGGTTGCAGAAAAAATAGCATGTTTCATTCGGATCAAAAGTGACTTTGTTCGACTCGCAAATTTTGCTTTCGCTCGGCTTCGCTTAACGCTCCGCCTCGCAAATGCAAAATTCGCTTGTCAAACAAAGTGTCACTTTTGATCCTAATAAAACAATCTACTATTTATTTGATAAAGTATAATTTTCATCCAAAATATAATTTTCATCCCACAAGCAGATGAGTGAAGGTCGACCTCAATTGGGATCCTAGACTATAGGATATCAGTCAACATCAACCTTGATTTATAGATACAATAACGAAACGTAACGCAAGTACGATAGAAGATAAAACATAGGATTTTTCCAGAAGGTTGGGTTTATTGTTTGATTTACTTTAGTAATTGATTAGTGATATTATATGATTGTTCTTTACATTCAATATTGATTACGGAGTTCTGAGAAGCCTCATCGAGAATAATTCCATTTTATATAGGTCAAACAGTTATTACAAAAATAACATTGCCATGAATGAAACTAGTTGGAAGAAGGAGATGGCACGAATATTATACAAATTTTAAATAGTATATCTGGTAATAGTATATTACGTAATATGTGTTGTAAGAAGCATATTACGCACGGATCGAAAAGTTACGCACGCTGCCGCGGAGCGGCGAGTGCGTAATTGCTTTACAACACGCAATACGTACTATACTTTACCTACTGCCATATTGTACATCAAAAAAGTTTGGACAAACAGTCTGAATTTTATAATTATTGACAGTTATGTCATCCGCTGTTGACGGCGATTACGCGATCATGACATACCTATACTGGTGGAATAAAAGAAAACTGTGCGATGTGCTAACTGTGTGTAAAGAGCTATACTTAATGAGGCTGTATCTCGTGTGTTCTTGCCTACAAAAAATCACATTTTACGTTCTAATTTCCGAACGAAAAAATGACTTTCTCCGAAGCCAATTACTTTATCGTCCACAGACACTAACTTCTCTCCCAAAAACACTTTTCGTCCGCTGCAGGGTTGCCAGTTTTACTGAATTTTCAGTAGATCTCCTGATTTGCATATTGATCTACTGATGTACTGACACATTTCATAACCTACTGAATAATCTTTGGACACTCATTTATTATTATAATTACCCTCGTTATTACCTTTATTATTCAGTCAATCACATACACTTATGAATTGCATGATATTTCGGCACGCTCTGTTTGATTAGTTTCACGGATTGAGTAATGAATTTACAGGTAGGTACTAATGATATTTATAAATCAAAAAAGGACAATACTTTATCTGATTCAAATCAAATTAAATTTTGTACTAAGTACCTATTACTTAGTGTAAGTACCTAGTATTTTGTGATATTTGTGAGTATTTTTACATTGAGAATCAGGAATATGATTATTTTTTCATGAGAATGTTTGTTCTGTTTTTTTTTTATTTTATTGGAGATAGGTTATTTTACTGTTTACTAAAAGTAGGTACATAATGTTTTGACGTCATTCGTATAGCATAAAATAGATCTGAATTTTTGACAATATATTTACTGATGAAATAAAAATCGAACTGGCACCCCTGGTCCGCGCGGAGAGTGAGTCAACAACAACAGTCATTTGCTGTTGTCAAACTAATTATTCACAAAATCCGATAGATTCTACGTGTGAATAGGACCGTGATGTGGATATGAGTGTTTTAGGTCGACGAAAAAATATAATATGCACCTCAGCGAAAAACTGTCTATTTTCTCGCCTGATTGCTAGCCTCGGCTATCATTTTGCAAACTCGATTATAATAGACAGTTCTTTGTATTTGGTATATAAATAACTATTTCCTGCACTATATTCAGTTCCGAAACGGAAGAAAGTGTATCCTTTTACTCAGAGGAAGAAATCCTGATAGTGTTTTGACTCGGTTTTTAATATACTTGAAATATAATGACATTTATTGAATCAAGATAATTCAGATTCTATACAGATTTATCCTCTTATAAGGAATATATTTTGAATTTACACCACAATAATATATAATATATAATACAGAATAAGTACTATTTATGGCGAATTCATAAGCGACTTAACTTAGTTCTAACTTGAGAATTAGAGAAGGTGATTGGTGGATTCTGAATTTTTTAAACAGTGCATGTTCAACGATTTTTTGTCTCCCCGCTACGCGTCGGGAGACAACACAACCTGTAGCTAAAATCTAAACTATTTTTGAGATATAATATCAGTTACAACGCTCAGAAGATATCTGAACCAGGTTAAATACAGGGTGTCCCATTCCTTAAATCTTGTCTCATGCTGAGAAAGGTTTCTTATTATTATTCTTAATAATATTCATTCTAGGTATAAAAATGGACGATGCTGACAATGATCAATTCTTTTGCGATGTATGCAATATCAACCTTTACAATGAAGCTTCAATTCAGCAGCATATTTCTGGACGGAAACATTTGGATTTGGTCAGAGCCAAAGAAGAGAGATTACGGGTTGAAAGTAAATGTGGTATTTACGTGAGAGGTGAGAAAAACATGTTCTAGTCATCCCAATGATAACAAATATCCTCCACAATTTCACTGTTGAAATTCTTCACAGAGAGAACATTTGCATTTATTTTATTGGAAGCTATTTTCATCAGTAAGAATTCAGATGGACATGCTTTTATCCCTAGACGAATTTTTAGACCAATCTGAAATCGGAGCCTTCAGGAGATGCAACGTTCCTCCTTTATGAAAAGAGAAAAAAATCACCATGTAGAAGTGTGAAGCTTGATGTCACTCGATGATATGATAGCATCCAATTATAAATTATTATTGATTATTAAATAATCTCATCAGCTAGTTTCACGTAGTACACTAGTAGGGAAGCCGACTGCAGATTCCGACCGTCATCTGATAAAGACATTACATTATGTCCCAAAGGCATGTAATAGCTATTTATATATCAAGGGAGCAAAGTTATCTATTTCCTCCCGCGTGTGAAGTTTAATTCAACACACATGGGAGGAAATGAACGTTTGCTCCCAAGATATGATGATGATTTTATCCACGAACACATTTATATGAGAGCGTCGTTCTTAAAATTGTGCTTCAAGCTATCTATCTCTCGAGTCTCGATCCAAGTCAATGTGTTAGATGATCTAAGGTTACAGAACGAAAATCAATTTGACATTGACACTTCTGTCACATTGAATTAGTTAATTGATGTAATTTTTGCATTTTATTTAAATTTTCGATTGAGTGTTATATGAGGAAGTGTAGTATGAGATCATTTAAAAATTAAATTATTATTTGTTTTATAGTAGTGATGGACACACTGATTAGGTACTTGGGTAGCACAAATCTTATGTGTATATCTCTACCAAGGAAGCATGCTGAAGCCAATTTATTTTACCTTCCACGGAAGGTAATTGTTTTCTCCTCCCGTGGGAGTAAATTGACCGGTTTGTGTCCTCAGATGAGGGAGCCAACGCTAACTTTCTATGCAGTGAGTAGATGAAACATTGTTTTTTATCGAAAGGCACCTGTGGCAATTACTAGCCTGAGTGAAACGATTGAAAAACTGCACTTTCCTGTGCGGTTATTTGCACAAAATTTCACGATTTCATAACGAGATAAGAATTATGCCACCTGATACCAATTGAATGGAGATCTACCAAAGCCCTAACTGTTTCACCCCATAGTCGGCAGAACGGTTTTTTATAATTTATTTATTAAACAAATAACTTCCAGACGGGATAGGATCTGGTATAAGGAAGTACATAATTATATACCTATAGGTAAACATTTCATCATTCAAAATACATCAATAACTAAATTGGCGAACAAAGAATAATATTTGACTAATTTTATCCAGTTACCTCAGTAATAATCAGTTTTTTGTTTACTTCATTTTTGAATGTACCTATATTTCTACAGTTTTTTTTGGTATTGATATTTGGAAATTTCAAGAGTTACAATTCCATATGTTTCACTAAAGAATAAGTATTTGATATTTCATACAATTGATTGGTTGGTGTATCAAATACTTCTATCTCGTATTCACTTGTTGAAACAAAATGAAAAAGAAAGATGAAAATATCGTGAATACCTAAGCGTGCCACGATTCAAGTCAATATTTCCGAGAATATTACGCCTCTCGAAAAATAATATCCGATGAACCAGATTGTGGACGATATATTTTCGGAAATATCAACGGCACGTTGGGATATTCACGAAGGGGGCATTATTCCCCTATTATCTCTCAACTTGTTATCACGTGATGGAAGTATATCCGGAATAACGACAGCAAACGATCTCTGTGTCAAGGGTTTGACTCAGATTAAGAGGTGAAACAAGTGAGGGTTTGAGATCTACCATTCAATTGGTATCAAAAGTTAGCTCAAATTATCGCACTGGAAAGTGCCAATTTTAATCATTTTGCACAGCATAGTGATTGGTACAGGTGCCGTTCGATAAAATACAATGTGCAGGGTGTCCCAAATTGCTTGATTTTGGCAGTTTTTCCTATTTCCAGAACAGCTAGAGAAAAACTGACCAAGGAGTCTGGAGCTCGATTTTTGTGGAACGTCGATTGATGAAAATCGCATTTCGATATCTCTAACCCGTGATATAGGCAAAAATTGACATGACCGATTTCGAAATTATGCCATAACATTTTTATTTTTGGATATTTTTCTAAACGGAAAAAACTCTACAGGCACTTTTGAAGGTGGAATGAGATACACCTGCCAAAAAGAATATATCGTTTATCAACTGTCTGACATCGAAGCCTACGTTGTTTTCTCAAATAGAAACCATAGTTGGCTTTGACTCTAGAAAATCAGAAAAAAAAGTATTCCAAAAATTTATATGAGAAGATAATATGTCTAGTCATCCATCCTTACTGTTAATACAATAATGCAACGTTGCCTTTGATATCAGATAATTTATACGCGATATATTTTTTTGACAGCTGTATCTTATTCTACGTTAAAAAGTGCCTTTCGAAAGTTGTTTCCGTTTGGGAAAATATCCAAGAATAAAAATGTTATGGAATATTTTCGAAATCGGTCGAACGGTTATAGATATCGAATTGACGTTTTGTAAAAATCGAGTTCTAGACCCCTTGATCAGCAGTTTGGGACACCCTTTCCTACATGCCTTTGAGACATATGCCATCTCATTATCAGGTGACACTCGAAATGTGCAGCTGGCTCTTGAACTATACTTTTTTAGGTTTCCCCCCAAACTTGGGATCGAAAGCGCTGATCGAGTACTTTGCCAAATTTGGTACGGTAGTTTGGTCACATTATGGTGATTCGTTTCTCTTACTGGACTATTCACATCCAGCGGCTGCTCGAGATGCCATGAAACGAAAACACTACCTCCATGGAAGAAGTGTCATTGTGAAATACAGAGAACTGAAACCGTCGAGTAAGTTGATTTCCTTTATGTAGAATCAGTGGTCTACTCATTTTTTATATTCATTCATTTCCATACATCGAATAGTTCAATATACTTGTGAAATATTACATCGAAATAGCTTCGTTTTATCGGTTCTATTTCCTGATATCCAGTAGAATTTGAGCATTTGGCAGCAATGCTTATATGCCTAAAAGTATTCAGAATAGAATACAAATTTGCGATTTGGCAACATCCAACGGGAGACAGCCTCTGCTGGAATCGCGATTCGCGGGGGGGAAATTGTGACTTGAGATGTTTATAAGTAATGGTGTTTGCACTGATGCACATTTGTTTTTTCCAAACTTTACGGCAATAATCAATAAACAGTTCAAAATCGCAATTTAAAGTTCTTGTTACATCTTGTTTTGATGGATTTCACTCTTCGAATTATCTTTAAAATAGATATAAAAACTCAATTATAAGAATTCTATTAAACACTTCCAAAACTGAACCTACTTACAGCTTTTCTGCATTTTTCGTCGTAAGTATAAGTGATTGTTGGTATTTAGTCCGATGGACATTAAAAATATGACGATATTCTATAAACAATAACCTTATAATAAGTGTCGTCAGTTTTTTTGGTAGAATTTCCATATTCCCACTTCCCATTCAGCCTCCCCTGTTGAAAGGAGCACGAGCCGCCGCTGGTATTTATTGGAATCTATACAAATGGTTTTTTAGGCTTGTGTCATAGCCAAAGGGTTTGAATTTCCACTGGGAGTGATGTCTATTCTGAAAAAGTATTACAGGAGTTTTTTTTTCAGTGGGTCTCAAAAAATAACGTTATTCCTAAGTGTTTCATTCAAAGAGTGGCATACATTCTGTATAATATTTCTCTGCGCGTATGTCACAACTTCAAAAAACGAATCAAATCAATTCGAGGTCATATGTTTCAGTGAAGCAGTGCCGTGCTGTTTCAGGAATTGGGTTAAAATAAATAATTATATTCACATGATTTGTATTCACTACTACAGGTAATTTTGACTAAAAAACATTCAATAAAACATGGGATTTGTATATATTTCAAGTTTCAACTCTTGAATTATTCATCAATTTATTGAAGGCATAAACATGTATTAGAACTTTGGTTTGTATATACTTATGGCTTATATGACCCGAAGTATACACCTTTTTAATGTTTTCGATGTATTTTGTGGTTGTGGCAAAGTCGAACACTGTTGAGTCGTTTTAATTATTTGTATGTACAGGGTGGCTGGAATTCGAGCCTCATCATTGGGATCTCGTAAACCGTAAGAGATACAGGGTCGGTTAAATTATGGCAAAGTTGCGCAATTTGATGCTCAACAAAATGCCGTTCTGAAACTTGGAAAATTCTGAATACTTTCGGAGATATCCGAAAAAAATCGAAATTCCATAAAATCGTTTTTATTTTTTTCTTGCGTTATTAAAAGAAATTAATCGATATGAATAACACTTTATCATGGCCATTTTTTCTTCCCTACAACATGGCGTTATCAAATTTGAAATCTGACGTTTCGTCTTCCAGAAACCATCATCAACTTACTTTTTTTGAATACGGACCTGGATTTTTTTTTTTCATTTTTTGTTACCTTCAGATAGTCCAAAAACTATAAGCTATCACAAATTTCTATTTTCAAATGTTTCAATGACTAAAATTCACAGTTTCTCTATTTTTTCAAAATATTTAATCCGAAACTATTTTTGAAACATTATTATTCGAGTTATTATTCATCAGTAATATAACTAAGGGTAAAAAATGTGTGAACTATGTAACTAAATTGTAATAAGAACAAAATGAAATTCTAAAGTAAATGCTCGAATAGTCCCCCTTGCACCTCTTGGCATTTTCGTATGCGTCTTCGCAAATTGCCAGTAAGCGCGCGCTGGATCATTCTTCTTCTACCTCGTAGGGTTGTTATTTCAAACATTGAATTTTGTCGTAAAATATTTATGTCCCGTGGAATATCTTTAAATAAACGGTTTTTCAAATATCCCCATGAAAAGTAATCCAGCAGGGATAAATTGGGGCTTCTTGCAGGCCAGCGCACCACTCCTTGGTTTCCAATCCACTGATTGTGAAATGTTTCACTTAGATACTGAGTAACGGCCCTTCCATTGTGGGGTGGTGCGCCATCCTGTTGCCACCATAGTTGCTGGAGTATATTTAACGGCTCGTCTTAAAGAGCATCTGAATTTTGGATGAAATGAAGGTACCGATCACTATTTAAATTCCCATCATAAATAATTGGCCCCAAGATTCTGTTTCGATACAGCCCCACCCAGACATTGAATGATGCCCGTCCCTGCCTTCGCACTTGCTGATTTTGGTGCGGATTTTCCACTGCATAATAATGCTCATTATTTCTGTTGAAAAGGCCGCTCGTAGAAAAATTGCATTCATCAGTCCAGATAATGTTATTTAGAAAATCTTCATTCTGTTGCAATTTTCTATCAAGCCAATTGCAGAATTCTAGCCTTCTTTCATTATCTCCTGGTCTTAGTTCTTGGCTAACATGTAATTTATAAGGATGATACCTATGATTTTTGAGAATCTTCTGAATTCGGCTTCTAGGCATATTCAATTCTAGAGCAAATTGTCGTGTGGAACCTCGGGGATTTTCCGTCACCTTCAAAATTTCTCGATCAAATTTATCGCAAATATAAATTATTTCTTTTCGAAACTTACCGCATTTATAACAGCTCCTTCATCTTCAGCTCCAAATCTTCCTCCATACGCATTTCGGGGCTTACGAAAACTACCATACAGATTCAAATTCTTGTCCAAATTATTGAAATACGTATAATGCGGTTGTGGTCGTTCGAAGTATTGCTGTAAATATCTCTCACATGAAATTTGCGAGTTTCTATTAGCACTATAATAAATTCGGACCATATCACGTTTTTCTGAATTGGAAAACACCATTTTTGATCGCGCAAATTATTCAAAACTTTGGACTGTCAAACTTCGACGAGTGGTTGTAACTTTTCATCTCTAAAAGCATAGCCGCCTTTTCCATTTTTAGTAATTGCATTGAATATTTGGAAAAAATAAAGAAACTGTGAATTTTAGTCATTGAAACATTTGAAAATCGAAATTTGTGATAGCTCATAGTTTTTGGGCTATCTGAAGGTAACAAAAAATGAAATAAAAAATCCAGGTCCGTATTTAAAAAAAGTAAGTTGATGATGGTTTCTGGAAGACGAAACGTCAGATTTCAAATTTGAAAACGCCATGTTGTAGGGAAGAAAAAGTGGCCTTGATAAAGTGTTATTTATATTGATTAATTTCTTCAAATAACGCCAGAAAAAAATAAAAACGATTTTATGGAATTTCGATTTTTTTCGGATATCTCCGAAAGTTTTTGGAATTTTCCAAGTTTCAGAACGGCATTTTGTTAGGCATGAAATTGCGCAACTTTGCCATAATTTAACCGACCCTGTATCTCTCACGGTTCACGAGATCCCAATGATGAGGCTCGAATTCCAGCCACCCTGTACAATAAATGGAGTTTCATCACCTTTGAAACGGTTGGGATGTATGTTTTTGAATGCGATTTTCTCTATATTGGTATATTATGTCGATTGAAATGGAGTATACTATTTTTATAGGAAAAAGATGAAGGGATCAGAAGGTGAAAGCAAAATGTCAAATTTGTCACCTCTGTCAAAAATACTTTCATTAAACGGAAAAAAAAACTTCCCATCCTGTATACAAAATAATCACTGAAATGCCGTTAACGTATGGAAAGGTGCATCAGTTTGAGTTTATTTACCTGCCGATTATCATTGATACCATGACAACCGTTCAAAAGTTATATGTACAATTTTTTTTTAATTTTAACTTTCAAGGTCAATAACTTCGTAACGAAGCACGATATTTTTTATATGAAATACTTTCCGGGCACCCTGTATATGTCAACAGACCGGACCGTTCTTGAAAATTTTCGATATTTCAGTTTATATCAAAAAGTTTATTCTGTATATGGTTTTTATAAACTGTGACAAGGGATTTTCAAAGGTCACAATTGAGCATCAACTATAAAAATATTCAAAACTTTCCCGCAACGTATAAACCCTATTCAACCTATATATTAATGAAGAAGAGGAGAAGACACTTTCTGATGGTCATTAGTTATTCCCCTCAGGAACCGCTATTCATGGTAGGAGTATGTCTGGTTCCTCATGACTCACCCTGTTTACAGTTAATATAACCGTACATTAAAAGATAATTATTGAGCTTTGGCGTTTTTCTTTCAGGGGATGCTTTCAAGGAACAGGTAGAACTCATCTCTGATAACCTATTAGATCAAATTAAAAACATGTCAGATCTAGAACACCAATTCTCCACGTTGGCATATATTTTGCAAGGTGAGGGTATGGAATTCCTTGTGTATGATAAAATCTGTCAGGATTTATACGGGACTTTGATTCATAGTTTTCCACGTTGCCAGATTTTTCCATTTGGTTCCACAGTAACTGGTCTGGGATTCAAAAGCAGCGACATAGATGTTTACATAGCTGGTATCAGGCATGGAGACAATAACGTACCACTTTTATATAAAATCAGGACAATTTTGAGACATTCTCAGTTATTCACGAATGCTATAGTCATTGCCAATGCTAAGATACCGATCTTGAAGTGTGTGCATATACAATCTGGCATGAATTGTGATATAAACATAAGAAATATGTTGGGTGTATGTAACAGCAATTTGATTAACTATTACTTGAACCTGGACATGAAAATAAGAAGGATAATGCTTTTTATAAAATATTGGGCCAAAACTCACAAACTGACTGGACAAAATCACCTGTTTACCAACTACTCTTTGAGTCTCATGCTGATATTTTTTCTACAATTGGCTCCATATAATGTTCCATCTGTATTTTCACTTCAAGATTTCAGGTCTAAGAATATGCAAGATGGTTGGAATGGAGGATTTTCTAAAAAAAATTTCTATAATAAACACTTGAAAGGTGTGTCTTTAGTAGGACTTCTCTCGGAGTTTTTCAAATTCTATTCGGAATTTGATTACGGTGTGTACGTGATTGTTCCTTATTTGGGGGTGCCTATAAAAAAAAGCGATTTCAAGGACCCCAAATTGCTTTACGACAGCGTTTTCTTCATCTACAAAAGATATATCGAAATTGAAGGTAATTTGCCTTTGAAAGTAGATGCTTCTATTTGCGTTCAAGATCCCTTCGAGCACTCACGTAATACGACCCCAATTGTTTCCGATTCCACATTGAACATTTTCGTGAACTTGTGTTGCCTTGGAAGGAAATTGTGCGAAGAGGGAGAAACTGGTCTGTTATATAGGCTAGTGAACGAAACACCGCCGAATGTCATGATGGAATTGTTGACGAACTCAAATTTCGTTCAGTTCTCCATACCAATGAGTTTGAATACAAAATACTTGAAGAAGAAACTCGAGGAGAAAGTATCGAACGATACCATCGAAAAGATGTGGTTCAAATCTGTCAATGAGTTTTTGCTGATCGTTTTGAAGGATTTCTTGAATATTGAGGTTAGAGACATTACTGAAGAATCGACGAATAGCAAAGCGAAGAAAGCGGAAGGGCAAAACGATGTCCACGACAAAGAGGAGTCCCTCTACTCCTATAGATGTGCTGCCAAATTGAATTTTTGGCAGAATAGGAAAGCCATTTTGAAGAATATCAATAAAGCCGAGGCATCGAGTGTAGTTGAAAGAGAAGTGGAAGTCACTAAGCAGTTGATGGCATTGTACAAGGATATCAATTTAAGGGATAACATAGTTGAGTTTGAGATTTCTCTTGTTTCCAAATACGATCCTCCACAAATGTTGATCAGTGTGACAAAAATAACATCTTATAAAAAGACTTTCAAGGTTTTTAGCCACTGTTTAGCTTCGAATTTCACTTCGTGGTTCGAAACTTACGAGAAAGAGTTGAATAGCTGAAAATAAGACAATCAAATGAGATTTGTCCAGAGATTTTGAGAGATTTTTATGTATATAGGTTGCCTCACTGTCAAATGTTCGTTGTTTTTGAAGGTACCTATATACATATGCTGTATATGGAATTTTAATTGCTCTATATTTTGTTGGAATTTCAGTTTTTCTGTAGATTTTTATACCATTTATATACCCAGTGTGGAATGGCATTCTATTTCCTTCAAAATGTGGGATATCAGTAATACCTCCAGGTCTCCTAAGATCTGCAGATATATTAGAATCAACATTTGCATACAATTAATTTTTGGTTATGAAAGCTGTACAACTTGATAGCACAGCAAATGGGTAAGTATATTGATATCAGAACGGCATATCAAAACAAGATATAAAGTGTGACACACTTGAGATAAAGACACCCCTGTGTTTTAGTCATTTTTGTGAGTAGAAATAAATTTTTTTGTACAGACGTAGACCTTCATGGGCCGCAATTTTCGTGATACTCAGCCTGAGTAACAGCCTTGAACCCAGCCTACTGTGATCCCGCGAAAAGGGCAAATTCGAGATATTCTGCTTCGCGTAACAAGAAAAAGTTATTTAAAAAAGTACTTGGAAAACGATGTCGACCCTACATACCGAATTTCAACACAAAATTCGAATTTTGATTTTTTATGTAATTTTTATATTCAAGTCCGATTTTCAATTAATGGTTCTGAATAAGAAGCAACAGAGATTATAAAACAGGCAAAATTGCAAATTATTATATGAGGTCTGTTCGCGTTCACAAAATTAACAGTCCGAAACCTTCAGAAGCATGCGCAGTGACGAAGAAGTGTTCGCGTTTTCTCAGGACTGCATCGTCTACAGATCACGTGTTCTCGTTTTATACGAACTAGTTTGAGTAGTTTGTGATGGTTTCGAATCGGTTCAGTGCAGTACGAGCCTCTGGGCTAGAACTGCCCATGACTGTCGTGGATAATTTTGGATGCGTATGCGTTTATGCAACAGATTTTCAACCTCTATCAGCTTTTTGATGTTGAGAGATACACTTTCAAACAATCAAGATTATGAACAATGGGCATATGAGCTTCAGCTCATCGTCATATCTTCAAGTTCAGATGATAACAAACGTTTTCGAACATTTATTTGCTGGAAATCCTCAAGACCAATCTGGAGAATGGTGGTTTTGAAGGAATCTGTACTCAAATTAAGCCCCTTTTCTCATTTGTTTTTCTAGCTATACCGGGTGACACAGGCTATCGGGCCACCCCTGTAACTTCTGCATTCGTCAAAGGATTTTTCTGAAATTCGGTACAGTTATATAAGCAACTATTTCGGATTTGATCACATTACAATCCAATATGGCGGACTTCCGGTTTTTCTGGAAATGCCAGCAATTTTGTTTTTTCAAATGGAACACCCTGTATATTTTTACATATTCAAGTTCAACAGGTCAAAACAAGTGCAATCTTGATGTCAAATGTCATTTATTCCACAGCCTACCTAGTTGAAAAATAATTCTAACTGCAAGGAAATTCATAAACTAGTTGTTGATTTTTGAATGTATACAATTTGTTACTGCACCGAAAAACAAAAATGATATTGCATTTTGTTCCTCAATGTATGTTCTAGAGAAACGGGTAGGTGGCCCATAGGGGTTCCATTTGAAAAAAAATAATTTTTGATCAAAAAGTGATGTGGCTGAATTGATTTCTGGATAAGTGACACAAAAAATAATTTTTCAGTAAAAATTATGTTCTTCTGTTATGTGTGACTCATTGTGAATAGTCTTGACCACATCTCATTTATCCACGAGGTAAAATGAAAAAACAATTTTAATTTATTTTTTTTTCGAAAAAATGACATTTGAAATGAAGATTGCACTTGTTTCGACCTGTTGAACTTGAATATGTGAAAATATACAGGGTGTTTCATTTGAAAAAACAAAGTTGCTGGCATTTCCAGAAATACCGGAAGTCCGCCATATTGGATTGTAATGTGATAAAATCCGAAATGATTGCTTATATAACTGTACCGAATTTTAGAAAAATCCGATGACGAAAGCAGAAGTTACAGGGGTGGCCCGATACCCTGTGTCACCCGGTATTTCTGAGATTTGGGACATCGAATATATTCACTAGAGGGCACTCTCTCACATTTCATGTTTTTTTTTCATCTTCCGGTTTTCCTGGAAATAACATCGATTTTCGATTTCCAAATAGAAAAACCTATATTTTCTATCGTTATTGGTTAGAAATTATTATAACAAATTCAACGATACCGGGTTTGATTGGGTTATTTCCAACGATTACGAAGATTTTTGCGTTTGAAGTTTCCATATGATCAATGAGTATGACAGAGATAGAAGTTTCGATATTTCGCCGTCACACCCATTGATCCTATGAAAATTTCGTTCGAAAATATCTTCGTCATCATTTAAAATAACCCAATCAAACCCGGTTTCATTGAATTCGTTATAATAATCTCTAATCAAATATGGAAGAAAATATAGGGTGTTCCATTTGAAAATCGAAAGTTGATGTCATTTGCTGAAAAACCGGAAGATGCCCTTTAGTGGGCATATTCAATGTTCCAAATTTCAGAAATATAGTTGAAAAAACAAAGGAGAAAAGAGGGGTATACCATGAGTCTGTGTATGTATGTATGAATATTTTAGTGAGAAAGGTTGATGTTCAGGCATTGAATTTTGTGATAATTTTATGATAACATCAACATAACCCTGACCTAAATATGCCCTCGATTCACGTGAGTCAAGACACAGCATATTTACGAGAAAGAATACTAGCAAACGGGAAAACGCCGTTTTCGTTCATCTGGTTTCAGAACTATCCCAAACTTGTTTCGGATTGAATTTGATGCACACCTGATTCTGCGCTGTCCGAGGACCGTTTCAACAATTTGAAACACGAACAAACCTTTTATCAAATGTAATATATGTTAATCGAATTCTGTCCCCTTCACTAGTCTGTTTCTCAAAATTAAAAATCCGGTTTTTGCGTTGAAATCAGTATGTAGGGTCAAAATCAATTTCTGAGTAACTTTTTCGAGTAATTTTTTTTCGGTATCTCCAACGCGAAGCAAAATATCGAAAATTTGCCCTTTTCGTGAGATTCCAGTGGCAGGGTCACTCGGGCTGAGTATTGCGGTTCATGAAGGTCTACGTCTGTACCAAAACTCGAATCTCTGCTTTCAAAAGTATCAAGAAAACTGGTATTTTGTTCATGATACACCAGTGTTTATTTTGCCCGCTTTTCAAAACTGTCCTTTATCGATGAAAATAATTCTGATTGATAGACCTTTCAACATTAAACTCGAGACATAAAAATATTGTTTCTATTTTTTATACCCGATATAAATAATTGTTTTGAAAAATGAAAATTAAAATCAGATTTCATAGGAAATCATATGGTGGTTACTTCAATGCCCAAAATGCCGTTTTGAGATGACGGGAAGGTAACCAGAATAGAGACCTCAAGTATGTACCTGTTTTTTTTAATGTATGACAATACCTGATAGGCTGCAATCTCGATTTGATTCTATACAGGTTCAAAGGAAGAATCTGCATAAAAGTGTATTTTTTATTCTTTTTCTAAAAATCTGAATGATATATGAGTTATCAAAAATTTAAATTCGTTGTAAAAATATAAAAAAATATCAATTTTCCTCTCGAGTGAGGAACAACTTAGCAACATCGGATTGCCTTCTTCAGCGCCTTCTGGGATTTGATATCAAGTCATGAAAATTTTGAAGATAGTTACGTTTTCTAGATCCGATGAATAAATTCGGAATATCGTGTTTTTTTTTTAATATTACCACCTATACTATATTTTATTTCATTGAGCTTACCTTCAAAAACAACGAAGGTACGAGAGTTATGGGCTACTGGCAACTGTTACTATATATGTACAGGGTGTTTCTTAAGTACGTGTAGAAAATTCAGGCGTATAAATATATATCCGAAAGTTATTCGTTTCTGAAATACAGAGTGTCAAAGTTGAATAGTTATTTTTGTTTTTTGTTAATAAATTTCAAAATAATTGTGATATTGGAATAATATTTGGTACCTAGGGGTATTTTTCAATGACAATATCAAATTTTTTGTTAGTTTGTCTCTTTCGTGGGGATGGCGCTACCTACATGTCTTTTGAGTCTTTTGAAAAGGCATAACTTTTTTGTACGTACGTTTAACGTTTCATAGTAGAAAAATTGATTTCTAGAACACTTTTATGTAAAAAATATATTCCTGGTAGAGTTCGCTGCGGGCTACTGTTTTCGAGTTATTGGGATTCGAAATAATCGGTGCATTTGAATTATTTCCATGTGGCTCCTGAGTCGTCTCTAGTGAATATCAGAAAAGATACGCCAGACCATTTTTCTTCTTTCATTCAGTATTCTACTACATTCAACATTGGAATGTAGACAAAATATGATTATTACTTCTTTGTTCCTACTTTTTTCGACTCTTACAATTTGAAAATCTAGCAATCAAGTGAGTACTTGTTATGTTATTTCAATCCGTTCTTGTGACAGTGAATTTTGTTGTCTTATGTACTTGTAATCCAAGCTTTTTCTACTAACTGTTTTAGTATCAATTATTAGTATTAAATTGTAATAACACCCGATTCCTATTTTTTAATGAAATTAAAGAAGAATAATTTCCCTTACTTAATAAATCAATTTTGAATTCCAACTTCTTGTCATCCCAAATTGCTTGCATTGATTATTTCAAATCCCAATAACTCGAAAACTGCTCTCAGCGACCTCTACCAAGGCTATATTTTTTACACAAAAGTGTTCTAGAAATCTATTTCTCTACTATAAAACGTACGCACAAAAAATTTATGACTTTTCAAAAGACTCAAAAGACATTTAGGTGGCGCTACCCCTACGAAAGACAAACTGGCATAACATTTTATATTGTCATTGAAAAATACCCCTAGATACCAATTTTTATTCCAATATCTCAATTATTTCGAAATTTATTAACAAAAAACAAAAATAAGAATCCAACTTCGACACTCTGTATCTCAGAAACGGATAACTTTCGGACATATATTCATACGAACTTTTCTTCTTATTTTGACGTCAGTAACATGCTCCTGAATTTTCTACACGTACTTAAGAAACGCCCTGTGTATAATCAGATATATTTTGAACATGTATAAATTTACCATATTTTTATATTAGGATGATGTATATTTATATATACAGGGTGATTCAAAATTCGATGTAAATATATTGTTGGCATCAGAATAAAACTTTTTCTTCATATAATTATGTGTCCCAAAATTCACCCCCACGAAACTGTAAGTTAGGTAAAGAAAAAAGATATTCTGACATTGTGACTAATAAAACGGATCGAATTCTCTGAAAATTGGCAGGCCTCTGTCCTTCTAGACACTTTATTCATTTTTTTCTTAAAAAATTATGTAAACCCAGTTTGGGGGGAGGGGAGTGCATTTTAGAACACATGTTTATATGAAGAAAAAGTCTTATTTTGATTCCAACAATACGCCCTCGAAATATTTACATCGAATTTGGAATCACCCTGTATATACGTGGTGCGAATTTTATCAAAGAAAATTTGGGGTCTGGAAGAAAAATGAAAATAAATAAGTGTGAGTAGTAGTGTCTCATTTTAGCGAAAACGACTGTTTCCGAAATGGAATATCTAAAGACCAGTTCAAATTTTCGTTTTTTCATTAACTTATGTCTGAATGAAATGTTTTAATCTTACAATGTTATGCATGCGATTTTTGCAGGAAAGTATACAATTATTATCAATGAATTTTTTGAGTTCTCATAACAATTATTGTTCGAAAATATAAATAGTTTTTCAGTACATCAGATTCGTTTTTCATTTCACTCAGCCCTTAGTTGAACGAACCTCACACTGAGACGTGAGATCAAGATCGGTGGAACTAGCAGTTCCTTAATGTACTTGAAACTGATGTTTCGACATTTTCAGGAGACCATGACAAGCAATGACAATCACACATAACCACCAATACATTGATGAAAAAGCGGGAACCGACAGTACCGTTACCACCGATACAACAAGGCCTGCATGCTCCGTGGGTGACGTCACTTAGTGAGGCCTAACCAGCGGCTCGAAACGACAAGCGCTTATAGCGCTATAAGGCGACCGCGTATTTCGATTTTAATTTTAGATCATCATTGAGCCGATTTTGCTGTTTTTTGAAGGGCTTCTGGTTGAAAAAGGATGCCAGTCGTCAACTCTGAGCCCTTGTTCGCACCCCATTCGATTTTATTATGGAAAAACGAAGTTTTGAAGCAAAAACCAGGATAAAACACAAATATCCACCTACAGCAACCCATTCGAATTAAATATATTGGCAAAAATTGTGGTGAAGGTAAACTTCACACCTACTTATATAGGGCCCGCAGAAACTTATCGTGAGATTGATCGAAAGAAAATTATGGAAAATGTATTTTATTTGACATGCCGTTTGTTACAATTACCTATATTTATCTTGGAGAATTCCTATTACCTGAAAAAATAACCAGTGAATGTTTTCAATTTTCTGTTGTTGGATTTTTCACCCAAGTGGATCGTTACACTTAAAAGCGTAATTTTTAAGGGTAAAACTGCATTTATCATGCAATGTTTTTTTTTTTGAAAATTTTTTCCGGTACTCATGTATTTTTGTCTGATAAACCGAATTTTATAATGAAAATGTTAACAAACCACTATTTATTGAGATATTTCAAAAAAAGGTTCGAAATTTCGCCTTCTTTTTCCCCTTGTGTTGGGGGCATTTGAAGCTACTTGCTCTTATTTTGTCATTGGACACTTTATATACTCATGATGTACTTCGATGGCACATTTATATAGAAAATTCAACAGGAAATATGATTTTTATGGCGAGTTTTTCATATTTAGTGAAAAAGCATTCCAGATGACGACCATTTAATCAATAGTCAATCAAAATACGAGATGTCAAATGTCAATAGATTGCTTTCGAATGACATTACACACGCCATTATTTTGAATGATATTCTTCCTTCTTTTCACTAAATATGGATTAATCTCAAGAAAATCATATTTATAGTTGAATTATATATAAATTGTCCAATATGATGAAAAAAGAAGGGAAATTTGTTCTAAATGCCATCCAGAAGACAGGTGAAAAAGAAGGTGAAATTTGGAACTTTTTAGTCAAATATCTTCATGATAAATATCATGATAAATGCAGTTTTACCTTTTGAAGTAGAGTGTTTGTAGTTCATGTTAATATGATAGTTGCGAAATTGGATCATTGGAATGAATTCTGCATTCATTGCCACGAGGCAAATGACCGTTTTCAGAAAGAAATTTGAGAATGAGAATTAAAAATGCCCGTTTATTAGGAACATTCAAGAAAATTTCCTCGAATTCAGAGATGATTTTGTTGACTATAATATACGAATACAAAACTAACTGCACAATCAAAGCTTTTCTATTTTTCCTCTACTTATACTTTTTATGAGAGAGTAATTGTCTTCTATTATTAATTCATCCTTATGAATTAAGCTCTGTTTACTACTGAACTTAGATGGAGTAAAATCCTCGCGGTGAATTGCATATACCCACATTTTCGATAGCTCCTCGTCCAACGGGAAACTAAAAGCATGAACTTTTGAACCACCCACATAATTCCCCCGACAAAAGGGAACACAATACTTGAAGGGCATTGTTATTTCGCCGATCACAACACAAAATATTTCACAAAACAGTAATTTTTCCGCCAATTATTTTGATGAATAAACAACAAATGAATTCGGGACCGTTTCAAAAACATACGTGAATCACCGATGAATTAACACGAACTGACGCGTTAGTAGACAAGCGATAAAATAAAACACTGCCCTCTCTTGGCGACGTCACGAGCTGTTTACGTCAGAGTCTGCTGGCCTTGTTGTATCGGTGGTAACGACAGTACACGAACGTCCATGACATACTTTACAAAGGTTTGTCAAATTGAATTATTTGTGTATCACTTCTAAGTTGAAATACCAAGTCTGAACTTGTGCGTAGTTGAGAAGTTCGGGACCTCTCTACAACATATCGACTTTTTCGTTTCTTGAATACATTTTCCGTCTCTATTGATGATATGCAATTTTAATCAACACACAAATGAAGAAGAAAAATTATTGATGTAATCGATTAACTGTCAAACACATAAAACATTTTGTGTAGGTACACCGCCTACTAAGTGAAATAATTATGAAAAAATAGACTGATAGCCCTGTGGATCATCGTATAAGAGGAACAATTTTAGTTTTATTATTCCAAATGGGAAGATCATGTGATAGGTACATGGCGAAAATAAAAGACAGATAGTTTCTGTACGAGTAGCTGAATTCGAAAAAATATGTTCCTATGTTAGATTCCTCAATATCATGAGTTATTTTCGAAGGTTTTCATCTTGACACAAACAAGCTATTGACAACCTGCAGACATTGATCAGAATATCAAAACATTTTGAATAATATCGGTTTACTAATGATATTTGAATTTCAAAGCCTACCAAAAGTGTCATATATCATCGAATTCATTTCACAGCCAACTTATTCTTTTTGAATAAAAAGCAATTCAACAGCGAATTAAGAAATAAATGCCACTTTGTGATACATGGTTGGATAGAGAATTTTAAGGCGAAAAAGATAGACTGAAGAAATGTACAGGGTTACATTTAAAAAAAATTGGGGTCACTTCCGGTCAAACAGGTGGTTGAAAAAAATTGTCGTTAAGTTCGTAAAGTGAGTTACCATTTATTATATACCCCCTGTGAATTTCAACTTTTTATCTCTTCAAACAAAAAAACTACAGGCTGCTACATGTCTCCTGTGTCACCCGGTATAGATGAACTATATGTTTAACATTATTTCTTCAATATTACTTTGAATTTACCCAGTTTTCCCTTCCCTTCTGTCCTATGCTCCTATGTGGGTTTTATGAAGATGATCCAATCTGGAGTGCTTCACACTGTAAGTTCCTAAATTCAAGAAATGAAAATAGAATAAAACAAAGCTTCTGCTGTTGCCGTCAGCAAACATACAATTTTAATAATACAAGGAACCATTTCATATTATGCCAACTAAACAATATTTTGTAGTGCTATGCTCGAATTACAATTATTCGGTCTGTCATCTGTATCAGCTTTGTAGCCACACATACAACGTTTGCTCCCCAGTCCGTCTGGCAAGCAAATATGCCCTGACGGACATTCGTTGTGGTAGTACCCGCATACGTTGGTCAATGATGGACAAGCGTTCGGTACTGCAACCAAGCCGAACAGTTTATTGCCAGTACCTCCAACTGGCACTGGAAGGGGTGTCAGCCTTTTCAGGCTGTATTTGTCTACTCTCTCTACCTTTTTCCTGAAATAGATGATAGTATACACAGTGTCCAAGATGAAGATGTCTATCATGTGGATCTCGGAAACCATAAGAGAGACGAAGATGGTTAAATTAGAGAAAAGTTGCGCATTTTCAAGGTTAACAATATGCCGTTTAGAAGAAGTTTTGAAATTCCGAGTAGTTTCGGAGATATGCCTAAAAATCTGAAATTTGCCGATCCGTTTTTATTTTTTGTTGTTGTTATTTAAAGATATACAGTGTGTCCCACTTACCATGCTCACCATGGGTATCTTTTTAACGGTGAGAGATACGAGGTCGGTTAAATCACACCAAATGTGGAGTTTGTCAAGGACTACTATAATGTGGAAAAATATTTTGATAAAATCTATTCGTTTTTGTTTTATACGCAAAAAACAGATTGTAAGCACTTTCATGTCTCCTCCGTAACTTGTTTATTTATGAAAATATTCAAATAGGAATTTCACATTCTCATGGCAGTTTTTCAAAGTGATTTCGAAAAAAATATGAAATTTATACCAACTCTTCTAGAATTTGAGATTTCAGCACCAACTTTAGTTTTTCAAATGTAGGTCATAGCTCACTATGACTTAGTTACAAATAACTTTTTTTTCTCTTACAGATGATATGTCGCAGTAATAGTTTTATGTTGATAACAACGGAGTTATCGTCATTTATACAAAAACAAAAAATTATTTGGAAGCCGCCATCTTGAATTTATAAATTTCAACAAAAAACTCATGACCTCCGACCTCAAAAACCCCCACTCAGCAATTCTGAATGGAATCGCACCAAATCTTGTCCGCCATCTTGAAGCAGCCATTTTTTCAAATTTCTGTAATCAAATGTTGCAAGTGAATTTTGACTCAGTTCTGGCCGTCCTATCAACTTGAAATTTGGCAGATGTTCGTAAATCCGGTGACAATACATTATGGAATTTTTGTTGAAATTAAAAAAATGGCTGCTCCAAGATGGCGGACAAGATTTGGTCCGATTCAATTCAAAATTGGTGAGTGGGGGTTTTCGAGGTCGGAGATCATGATTTTTTCGTTAAAATTTATAAATTCAAGATGGCGGCTTCCAAATAATTTTTTGTTTTTGTATAAATGACGATAACTCCGTTGTTATCAACACAAAACTATTATTGCGACATATCATCTGCAAGAGAAAAAAAAGTTATTTGTAACTAAGTCATAGTGAGCTATGACCTATATTTGAAAAACTAAAGTTGGTGCTGATATCTCAAATTCTAGAACAGTTGGTATAAATTTCATATTTTTTTCTAAATCACTTTGAAAAACTGCGATGAGAATGTGAAATTCCTATTTGAATATTTTCATAAATAAACAAGTTATGAAGGAGACATGAAAATGATCAAAATCTGTTTTTGCGTATAAAACAAAAACGAATAGATTTCATTAAAATATTTTGTCACATTATAGTTGGCCTTGACAAACTCCACATTTTGGTGTCATTTAACCGACCTTGTATCTCTCACCATTAGAAAGATACCCATGGTAAGTGTGACACACTGTATATAAAAACAAAAGACACTTTCTCATTGGGGAACGTCTCGTTTGACCCAATTTTCGATTCGCCCAATTTTCTATTCGCCCAATTTTCTATTCGCCCAATTTTCGATTCACCCAATTTTCGATTCACCCACCGTCTCCGAACATACCCGAGTAATGCGTTGTTGTCAATGAAACGAGAATTTTCAACATTCATTTCACGTTGAAATATGTCGTTGGGCCAACATTTCGTTTCACCCAATTTTCAATTCGCCCAATTTTCGATTTGCCCAATTTTTGATTCGCCCAATTTTCGATTCACCCAATTTTCGATTCGCCCAATTTTCGATTCACCCAATTTTCGATTCCCCCAATTTTCGATTCGCCTGATTTTCGAATTTTTGATTCGCCTGATTTTCGATTCACCCAATATTCGATTCATATAAATTTCGATTGACCCAAATTTCGATCCACCCGAAATTCGACGTAATATAAGAAAGGAAAATATTCTTTTCTGCATAAGAAAGGAGACTACATCTTCAATGATACAGTGCTCGTCGCAGCAGCCACATGACCAAGGAGGAAAAAAATATTGAATCGGAAAATTCATATGATATGGTTCTTCTGAAATTGATAATTATAAAGTCAGTCCTCATCAGGGGTAATAATATAACTATCAGAACTAGTACACTCGAATAGATTATCAGGAGTTATCCAATGGAATCAGAAATCATGACGGGTGTCAATAGTTACCGATAGTAATGTGTAAAAATATGGGAAGTTAGTGAATTGGACGTCCTGTTTAATAATCCGAAGTGATTTTCAACATATTTTGTCTCCTGATATTATTTTCCGGACATGTGTGTAGATCGACGGCTATTAGCGAGCAGTGTATATCACTGAAGATAACCCCACTTGGCCATAGAGAACATTTTTGGTATATCTCTCGCTCCAACAAATTTCAGGATCCTAACCCAACGATTACGTAAGATACAGGAGTGTTTCCATTAGAAGTGGGACACACTGTATTAATATACTTGTCAACTCTGCCGATTAGCTGAGTAACTGAATAGAGATCCATGTATTATGAGTTGCCGTATTTTGGTCTACACAAACACTCTCTTCCCTGCATAAATAGCGCAGTGCTGCCAACATAAGAGCGCAATATCCAAAGGAAAAGCGCAACATAACGAAAATTTGCACATGCGCATTATCTGAAAATGTTGCTCATGAAGCTAATTTACTGCTTGAACAATTTTGGCATGCAAGTCTGAGATTTGTGAAATTCATTCAAAATCGTAAAAAGCGTAGTCCTAAAATATTTCAATCAACAGCTAGCTAATACATCAATCAAAAGTGTTAGCTACGCAATACACTTGATAGTCTTTAGATCCGCTTTACAGTTCCCAATTTTCGCATCTGATGCATAAATAATGCATAAATACCGAAAATCCAACATTTTATCAATAGATTTGCACCAGCAATGAGAATTGCCGCAATAAAAATATAAAATACGTCCAGATCACGTCCACGACCCATTTTCTGCAATTCACGCAAAATTTCGACAGTTCAGAAAGACACTATAGTGAGCACGCACGCAATGAAAATTGCTGCAGTTGTTGTGGAAAATTGCTCTACAAGTGGCAAAAAGCACAATGTTTCCCGAAAAATCGCAATGGCGCAAAACGAAGTTGAAAAGCGCAATAATTGCGCTTTTTGCGCCTTCTTGGCAACACTGCCGGTGAATTGAAGTCCACTGCATAGGCCAATCCGAGAGATCGTAGATCTAGGGTCTTATAAACGTGTTCAGTAATATACTAATATGCTAACCAATCCGTTCATCAAGAGGATTATAGATGCAATACTCACGATATCCAATCAGACCAATATATCTCCTTATCGGTAGTCGTTATACCGAACGGATACGTGCAGTTCACCGCTATGGTCTGTTTCGTCATCGTGTCGATGTGGACGCACTCTATTTTCTTGGTGCCGGCATCCGCGAAGCACAGCTGCTCAGTCTCGTAGTCAATGGTCAGCGAATTCGGCAGTGAAACGTCTGGTCCTTAGAACAAAACATGTATAATATTAAGTCAAAAAGTATGTATAATAATAGGTCAATTTTAGATTCCGCATCGCTGGGAATCCTAATTAATAATATTATGATATTCAGTTTTGTTTTTTACTTTGTAAATTGTTGCGTATACATGGGGTGTATACCTGTTTATTTGTATAGGCATCTCTAATATTGTCTTTCGAGTTATTCCAGAGATTGTTAATTAGTGAAGTGATTTTTAAAAATAAATCAACTTGTCTCAGCTCGACTTGACCTTGGCGCCTTAACGCCTTATGGAGAGAATATCGAGAGACAATCGATTTAGGCTATGTTACTCGGTTACTCAGGGGCACAACTTTCCCGCTCTGATGCACTGTGTTGAGCAGCAAATCAAGAAATACAGTCCACATTGAAGTTCAAAGACGTTTTATTAAAAAAACAATCATAAATATTCATCTATAGACTCAAAGAACGTCTAAGGAAGAGAGGCTTAAAAGAGACCAGCACAGTCAGACTCTGCGGGGAACATACAGAAACACCCCACTATATCTTGCTCACTACCTGGAGTCTTATGCTGTACCTCGGGAATTATTTACCGCACAGGTTCCAGAAAAAAAATATTTATATTGAAAGTGGCTAAGAGAAATCTCTGGAAATCATTTTCAAGTTTCCAGGATGGCCGATATAGAAGGCGTAATTGTATTGGCCAATTAAAAAAAAGATATGTCAAAATAGCTATTTACCTAACAAGTGCGAAAATTAGTACTTTTCCACACGCGACGGCAGTTGCACGAACGATGATTTATGAAAAAAAAAGGTCGTAATCAATAAAAAAGCGTACAAGTATTAAAAAGAGATGTTTTCGTCATCCTAGATCTAGTTGTGTAAAACTGGCACGGCCAATGCTTTGTGTTTTTGAGAACCTATGATTACTTTATAGTCAACATTTTAATGAACAATCATTCCCGATAGCCCGTCGTTTTACGCAAATAGGATGACGTTAATAATAATATCTTTATTGCTTCTAAAAACATAGTTTTACAGCAGGGGTCAGATATAGACTGAATTTGTGACTATTAATCTAAGAGAGAGAAAAAAAATGCAAATACTGAAATATAGAAAAAAAAGGGAAAAAATAAGAGTGAGTTGAACCATGCCTATTCCTACCTATTCATTGAAAATAAATGACCTGAGTTTAAGAATATTCCATATATAGCTAGCTATGATCTTCCAATCCTCCCGTCCAAGGACGAAAGGAGGGAATCCCAAGACGTAAGAGGTTCACAGCAGTGAGCCTGCATACTTGCATAAATTGGGCACTCAAACAAAATGTGACGAACGGTTTCATTATCATGGTGATTGCAAACTGAGCATATTTGAATGGGGTCAATCAAGTGAGACATGCCATTTAACATCAATTTTATCTTGATAGCATTACTCAAACGCAACTGAGCTATAATACGAGTGACCTGTATCGGAAGTTGATAAAGCAAGTGATATTTGGGCTCCTTGGGAAGGATAGAGTTGTTGTAAAGCGGCAAAAATGCGCTCCTTTGAAGCAATGATATATCGTCTTCGAAAAGTTTGTCATAATATTTTGCAAAAATAATATTTTTTTTATATTCTGCCATGAAGTACATCTTCATCCCACAAGTCCCCAGTTCAGCAAAAATAACTTTTCATCAATAGTGTGTATAATCTCTGATAGAACCCAGCGAATTAATTTACTGTCTCAAAGAAATTTTTGGTAGCCGGTCATCATCCATACTGAGGACTTTTTGTAACCAGTTCAATGACATTTTGAATACATTATAGGCATATTTCACTCTGCCAGTTTCCAATTGGATCACATAATCTGGAGAATTAGCATGAACAAGCAGTATTTTTTTCAAGAACATAATTTGGACTCTTTCTATGATGTCTAAGTATCTCAATCCCCAAACAGGCAAACAGTTCGAGAAAGTACTCAGTGCTAGAGTCCCTGTATATACCTTCAATTCCGTGCCAGAGATTATTCAAATGATTTTATGCGAGAAAACCGCACGTAACAATCTTGGCTTTGCACATAATTGGGATGATTGCACCTACTACGGCTTGTTTTTCTTTATCTGTAGCTACTGTGTGGCCATCTCGCGAAATAAACAAGAAGAGGTGAATGTCACGCCAAGATAACCATATTTATTCACTACCGAAACGGGTTCATTATTGGAATAAAATCTATACCCGCTTGGTTGGAAACCTCCCCTTGAAAAGGACAGTAGGTAGTTTTTGCAGTGTTGACAGAGAGGTCAAGTAGAGATGTATACGATTCCAAAATTCTAAGTTTCTTTGCGACGTCTATTATCTCGTTAATACATTACCTTCCAAGAACACCGCTCGTCCCGTGCCGTCTGCGTTCGCCCACTCGATCCTCGGCCTTTTCCGGTTCCAGTCGGACCAGAAGATCTTGCCGCGCTGCGGGTGCACCGCCATGCCGCGCGGGTTCACCAAGCCGGTGTCGAAGAGCGTGCGGCGCAGGCGAGTGTCCAGGTGGGCCACCTCGATCTTGTCCAACGTCGAGTCGGTCCAGTAGATGGTGCGCGAGATCCAGTCGATGGCGAGGCCTTCGGGGGAGCCGATACCTGGAACCAATTTCAGGATGTTTTTAATAGATAGTGCAGGAGGGTTACAGAATGATTAAGAATGTTGGATAATGTTGTGGAATCTTCCATACTGTTCTGGGCTGTTTTAGAATGTTTGGAAATGGAGAGAATGCTCCAGAATGTTAATCCCTGTTGATCAAAACATGCATCAACTTTATGACTGCTGCATTTCAAATGTGCCATGTTTTATCACAGAGATGTTTCCATCAGAGATATAGCAAAGGTGAATGTCCGCCTCAGATGAAATCACGGACTTATATCAGTGATGCATCATCAGACTTGAACAGGATATGCTCCTGTGAGATCACAGTGATGAATATGTCTCTACATAGCTCTTTCCATGGAGCATGCCAGAGACGTTCTTGACAAGTCTGTGCTCTGCATTGGCTCCATCCCTAATCGTCAATAAATTCATACTGGTTTTACCAGTATTTGTATCAATTTCAGATGCAACACCAAGATATTCAGGTTATATTCATGAAATTTCAATTGTTGAAATTGAAAAATCAGTGAAAATACTAAACACATAGAGTGGCATTCAAAACCGTGAAACAATGTGAACTTTATTCCAATCCATAGACAATTCAGTCAGTAACCCTCAAAACCTTTGTAAAATATAAAATGTTTTTCTTCCATACTCTTTCATATATTTCAGTCTGTGGGATCTTTATCTGCAGATTATATGTCTTCAAAGTGATGATTTATTTTCATGGCAGATCATTGTTTCGTTTTTACTGGACCCTCCAAACATTTTTTCATCCAAAAGTGTTCAGTCCAGCTGACTACAACTAGAACAAATAATATTTAATCTTCAGTCCAGCTGGCCACAACTGAAACAAATGATATCCGAGTGCAAAAAATGTGTATGAAATAAGTATTCACCTCTGTCATTATTGTGGAAACCCTCATTTGGCCTAACCAGCTGGTGTTTGCCAGAAGAGAATCCAAAACTGTTCTCATTAGAATGTTGATCACTTTTAGCTTGATGTCTTGCTTGTGGTTGAACCTGATGCTTATATTTACTTTTGTATGCTTTCTCAATTAGAATTGATAATTCTCCTATTCAATTATATCTGCAATATGAATCGCCTTACCTCAATTCTTCTATAGGTTCCTTCAATTTCAGGAAGAGGGTAAGGTGAGATATGTTTATTGCACTTTTGCTGGCATTGCAAATGGTCTCTTGAATCCCAGCTGAAATAACTTAATCACCTTGATATTGGTACTGATGATAAAGTGTCGGGGAACATGGAGTGGAGGGAAATGAACAAGCATTCTGGCACGAAAAGGAGCATCTTCGCCACTGATCGGACCAGAACCATTCTGCGGCCTTGGAAGTTCCTATTTCCAAGAAGAACTTAATAAAAATGCAGAAGCAATAAGAGTAACACAGTGGCGTAGACTTTCGGGACTGCGGCAGGCCAAAAATCTCGGCAATGTCAATAGAGCAAGATCTAAAACACTGATCAACCTCATCGAAATTAGTCACAAAGCAATAACTGGATTTCTAACGGGGCATTGTAGACTCAAAGAACATCTAATGAAGATGGGCTCAGAGGAAGGCAGCAGTGACAGCATCTGCAGATGCATCCATAAATACCCCACCACATCTTGCTGTTATGCTGTATACCACAAAAGGAAGCATACGAGCTGATTCTGGAAGAAATACCATAAACAGATTCCCTCAAAACCCTTGAATTCCGAAGAGAAATGAAGTTTGAGGGGCTGCTGTAAACAAAAAAACCTTCAGAAGAAGAAGATGGGGGCACAATAGATCTCATCAGGTCGCAGCGCATCTGTCACCATCCACACACTTACCAATACCAATACCTAAGTCGACTTTCCCACTCCTCTATCGCTCCCTCATTAATATCGCTCTAGTACCTTTCCCTCCAGAGAATCGATAGGTACGTGTTAATCTGAATGTACTTATCATCAATTTTTCTTTTTATCACTCACCCTCAAGTCGACTTTCTCACCGCCATTGTGAAACGCACTCCTGGTCGCCCTCCCATTGATATCGCTCCAGTACAATTTCCCCTCTAGACAATCGATAGGATCATTCATCCGCATTCACATCCACCCATCATGAACGTTTCTTTTTATTACTCAACCCTCTGTATATAAAGTCGACTTTACCATTGCCATTGTAAAACGCGCTCCTCATCTACCTCCCATGGATATTGCTCCATCCGAATTTACATTTACTCGTCGACATCAACTCAAAGATGGTTTGTGAATTCCTAGACAAACTCTAGAAAGAAACAATAAGGTAATCCTCTTCTGGGTGTCGGGGCACATCATTAGAGTGGAGGGAAATGAACAAGCATTCTGGCACGAAAAGATAATTCCTATTTCTAAGAAGAATTCAATAAATATGAAGAAAGAATGAAAGTAACACACTGGCGAAGACTGCGGCAGGCCAAATTTCTCCTCGACAATTTCAACCGAGCAAGATCGAAGACACTAATCAACCTCAGCAAAATTAGTCACAGTAATATCTGGATTTCTAAGGGGGTATTTTAGACTCAAAGAACATCTAGGGATGCTAGGCTTAGAGGAGTACTGCAGTGACAGCACCCGCAGATTCTGCGGAGAGCATCCCGTAACACCACACCACATCTTGCTGAAGTGTTACGCTGTGAAGCTATATAGCATAAACGATCGAATATACTGATGGGAGCATATCAGCTGGCCGTGGAAGTAATACCATAAACAGATCCCCTCAAAATCTTTTGATTCCTGAAATAATTGGAGGTTAAGGGGCTGCTATAAACAAGAAAACCTTGAGACAGCAGAAGAACAAAAGAGCTCACCAGGTTGCAGCGCATCTGTCACCATCCACACTTACCAGTATACCAGTACCAATACCAGATTCGACTTTTCCACTTCCATTGTAAAACGCACTCCCTCATCGCCTCCTCATTAATACCGCTCTAGTACCTTTCCCTCCAGACAATCGATAGGTACATTTATCCGAATCCTCTTATCATCAACTTTTCTTATTATTACTCACCCCTCTGTATAAAGTCGACTTTCCCACTGCCATTGTAGAACGCACTCCTGATCGCCCTCCCATTGATATCGCTCCAGTACACCTTCCCCTCCAGACAATCGATGTCCAGCCCCACCGCCGTCTGGTACGGCTTCACCTGCACCGGCCGCCTGGACCTCGGCTTCGATTCCTGCAGCGGGATCCGCAGCGTGGCCATGCCCTGGTTGAGCAGCAGGAAGTTGCCCTCCTGGCGGTGGATTTCGCGGCAGGTGGCGCCGTCGCCGAGGAAGCCCGCATTGCACTTACAAATGAAGTTTCTGTTGGCATCTGGAAGAAAATGCCATGTAACGAATTTTGAGAGTACCGTCAGATTATTGTCCCTGAACCGTCGAATACGTTAATTCAGTGCATATAAAAATCATAATACATTACTTTGGACCAAAAGGAATGTATGACAGGCATCAACAAAATTCAATGCCTGACCAATATTTGTGAAAAAATTCACATCAGTTGATATTTCAACGGGCTGATTTTCAAGATATAGTCGCATGGAGGCGACATGTGTAATGCGCCTGGGGTTTTGACAAGCTACTACTTGTAATACTACTTGTAAGAATATTATTTCTTGTAGTTCAAAGTAAATGTAAGATGTGCGCGATTTACTGCACAGAGTATACTTCGGATTGTTGTGCGGAGTGTAGTTTTGGCAAAGAGTGGCGCTACTGGCAGTTGCGCTAGAAGAGTGTAGCGATCAGTATACACTGAAAGAATTCCAGAAACCAGTGTTAGCCGTCCCTCACGATCTAGGATCGAATCATTGAAGATATCGATAACCAGATTCCAGTCCCTGTGAACATAGTGGTACTGTGAGTAGGCAATTCCTGATGCTGGTTCGACTGTTTCAGGGAGTCTAAATACTAATACCAGGTGGGCTTAGTACTAAGGATATAGGTACAGCAAGTCATGTTGGTTGCTGTTTACCTAGCTAGTAGTTCCTGGCATTCTGTTTTTTATAACAAGTCGGCGAGGTTGGCGTCGAAGTATTACGAATGGGCAGTATTTTGTATCTTGCTAATTAACCTACCTAAAAGTTACATTATGTGAACTGAGATAACTGAAAATTGTGCGAGTAGGTACCTATTACGTGTTCCGGGCGAATTCGATCGGTGGCATTGTATTCAACATTATTCGTATAATTGTACCTATTTCTTGTTTGTCTTTGCATGTCAATGTGTTTTTCATTGAAATTATATATACTTGTATTCGCGTGTGTACGCTTTTATTTCTGCAAGTTTGAGTGACTCTCTCCCACGACCCTGGATGGAATATTTAATTTTTAATTTAATTTCAACGTAATCCGCTGAGCTAGGTAAGTATACATCGCACATGGAATGAAGAAAATTGAAGAAAATACCTGATACCAAGTATAAATTACCATTGTTCCAGATTATTGTCAATGGTAGACACGGGAATTCCAGACCATTCTGACATTGTCATCAGGCTTCCATTTCCTTTCTTGTTAACTATAACAACCAAATGCAGAGACTCCTAACTATAATTCTGATAGTTTTGCGTCCCAGGTTTTTTTTTGAAGCTCTAACCATATTTCAAGTCGCCCCAGTAATGTAAAGAAAAATCAAATGTTACGCAACTAGATAACGAAAATAATGTATCGCAAATCTCTGGTTAGGATACTGTATTCAAGAATATTGGCAATAAAAAAAAATATACCTACGAAAAATATCCTCGTTCGTAGACATACATCTAACTGGAAGTAGTAACAAAACGAAAACAAGTGTTTAATTAATTCTCACCCTCCTAACGGAATTTTTGTCACGTAAACCCTTAGTATCACAGGGGTGCAATCGACTGAAAATGATTTATATAATAGATTCCTACATATACAAAAAATGTCCAGCTTCCACTGTTGATAAAAAGATGATAGCACGTGGTTGCGTTCGAGCGCGCACGGATATTTCAAATCGCCCCATTTTACGGTACACGATTCACTGTTAGCGTTTCAATTGACAGTGTTGGTGCAAAAATAGAGGCCTATGGAGTCGAGTAACGAAGCCTTGTGTCGATGACCAGTTTGTGTACTCACACACATATACCAAAAGAAATAAAACCACCTGCTTCAACTTGAAAAATTATTCATTCAACAAATCTTCTTATATGTATATATCCAAGAGATTATATGTAATATTTCGAAAATGTTTAGGTCTCTATATTGATGAAAATTTATTGTGGACTAAACACATAGACCATTTGAGATATGAAATAAATTCAATCACCTATGTACCTATGACTTACCAGTGAGACATGCCGCGTTTCTATCGCACATACTCGGATCAATATGGCAGTTCTTCTCTGCATAGCACTGGAACCCATCGCCGAAAAATCCTTCATCGCACCCGCACTTGTAGCCAAGCTCTTCCTCTACATACCTTGAAAGAAATGAGCATTTCTCCAATGAATATATAACAACAAGTGAAAGTTCATTTATAAGTGCACATAGAGACATTTATAGAAATCCCGATTAATCCGATTTATTATGAAATATACCTATCTATGAGAAATTTCAATTATCTGACAATGAATCTGCAGAGTTATCCACACCATTCGCGATTTCATTCATTCATTCGTGTTAGGCGTCTAGGAATATGTTGTCGTATACTTTTTAATAATGTACCAATGAATGGCGGTGTCTATCTATTGTTATTTAGCCTGCAGGTGGCGTGCTGTCTGCAATTGTTCAACTTACCGCAGCCGTAGACCTTATCCCTGCACATATATCTCGCCTTGCACGTGCCGCATGATTCCCAGAGTTATTATCCCGAAAATTCGCGGTTTCATTCGTTAATCCGTGTTTGGCGATTTCGATTGTTCGCTTATACTTTTCAATCATTTATAATTGACTCGCGGGATCTATCTATCGCCATCCAATATTTAGTGTGAAATAGTACCTGCTGGTGTTGTCCGCGATTGTTCAACGCATTACAGCCGACGACCTTCTCCCTACATTCGGCGATACTCCCACATAGCCCGCCGACTTATTATCTAACAACAAGTGAATGATTCATTATCGCACATACAATTTTCTAGCCATGATTCTGCAGAGCTACCCCCACCATTCGCAATTTCATTCATTCATCCGTGTTTGGCGTCTTAGAATGTTGGCGTATACTTGTTGATGATTTTCGAACGAGTCGTCATTCAGTGTGAGATTATACCCTATTCAGGTGGCGTGCTGAAAGCAATTGTACAAAGTATCATAGCCGACGACCTTCTTCCTGGATTCGGTGATGATGTCTCCCACGTAGTTCCTCTCATTGTCTTACAACACGTGAAATTTCATTTATTAATGCACATACAGACATTTATAGAAAACCCCATTAATCATATTATATTATAAAATATACTTATCTATGATGAATATCAATTATTAGGCAATGATTCTGCAGGATTATCCCCACCATTTACGATTTTATTCATTAGGCATCTAGGAGTATTGGCGTATACTTTTTAATGATTTGCGAATGAATCGCGGTGTCTATCTATTGACCATCTGTGGCTGACGTCACATCGTTGAAGGTCGAACGCTTGGAGGGTAAACAAACCGTGTGGAGTTATTTTGTTCTTGAGTTCATGATTATTTTTGCTCCCATTTTACTGCTTTTTTACTGACGAATAAGTTATTATTAGTGTTTGTTATTTGTATTGTGATAGTTGTGTTGAACTTCTACTGCAGATATAATTTATACATATTGAATTCAATGTATTCACCTGTGATCCAAATCTTCAGATTTTGAGGGCCCATCATTTACATTTTCAGAGTCTAACCGAATAATATGCCGAATTTTTGTATGGTAGTGAATGGGCTTACATCACAAAACATTTTTATTCCATAATTCGATAGAACTCACCCAAACTAGCTCACCACCGCAAACCGTTTATCGCTGTGAGCTCCCTACGTTTTATAAAAAATTATTGAAATTCCCGATTTTTCGGACCTCTGAAAACGAGGCGATGATGTGACGTCGAAACCCTAATACTGAAACAGGACTATTCCAGACAGAGATGAATGATACATGATTTCTGGCAGAGTGAATTAGCGCGAGATCACAGTTGAAAGAATTATCATATCAGTTGCCTCAGTCTCCGTCCGGCGTTTGGTATTTTTTTTTAACTATGGCGAGATGAGGTTTCTACGTCATAAGAGGGTCCGTTTTCAGATGGTTCTATTATTTATGTCCAAAAATTTAACATTCCAGTAAATTTTTCCATCGAATTAAGTCGTCAATCATTATTTATGTATGAAAGGATCATTATAAACATGGTTTGAGTTAAAAGTTCTACCAAGGTGTACACGTCCATTGCGGCAGTACTGGAATGAGAGACAGTGTCAGATTTTTTAGGATTCCCTCAGTTCTAGACAATAACAGAAGAGAAAACAGCTTAGCCAATTGAGTGGAGAACACTACCCTTTTTTTTAGAATCTTTTATTGTTTGTAAAAATTGTACAATCTCTTATTGTTGGTTCAAGCTATAGCATCTTCTTTATGCTCTTCCAATTGTGATTTTCTTGAACCTGGTTTTGTGAAATCAATGTCAAAAAATTTGCTGGGCGCAGAAGGTTTACTACTTGGAGCTATTTATCCAATAAGCTCTCACAGCATCTATTACAGATTTTGATTCCACAGATGATGTTGGACGAACCAAATTATCAATGGAGAATAATATAGCTGCAACATCTGTGCAAGTTTCTCAGCAACACAGTCACAATGTGCATTTTCACAGTACCATTACTTCCACATATAATTCAAGGATTAAGGCATTTTTGATTCAGTTTCTGTGAATGCAGAACCTACAAAAAGAATAATTACACAGTTAATATGAATGATAAATGAATGTGTGTTAACTTTAGAGCTTTCCCAAAACCAAGATGTGTTTACCAACACGTTTGGAGCGGAGGTCTCTCAACATTATATAGAAAATCGTTAAAAGTATTGTATCGTCTCCCATTTGATACACCAACCAATCAATTGTATGAAATAACAAATACGTATTCTTTAGATGAAATATATAGAATTGAAACTCTCAAAATATCATATAATATCATAAATAAAAAATTGAAGTCGAATATTATTTTGATACGGAATTCTGAATTTCATAATCATGAAACTAGACAATATAACTTGTTCCATCTTGACGCCGCTAGCTCCCTAATCGGACAAAAAAGATTCACTCATTCAGCCTTAACTGAATTCAATAAACTACCTGATAATATAAAAAATTGCAGAAATATAGGTATATTCAAAAATGAAGTGAAAAAACTGATTATTTCTCAGCGGACTGGATAAAATTAATCATGCCATTTTTTTTATTTTTTTTTTATTTTCCTTTACAAATATTACTCTTTGTTTGCCAATTTACAGTTGTTGATATAATATAATAATAATAATAATAATAATAATAATAAGTTTATTCAAAAACGTTTACAAAATATACATTGGAATAAACATAAAGGTAATTTGAATAAACTGGGAAAAACCTTACGAAGTTAACCTTGTAGTAAGGATAAAAAATAAATAAATGTACATAGGTCAATAAATATTTAACAATATCAAGTTATCACAATTGAAAATTGTCTCATTAAGAAATGAGACAAGTATTCAATTCATAATATATAATGTACGGAGCATTTAATTCAATACGCATAATAATTTATATTCATACATACTTATTCACAATTATTATTAAAATTTATCTAATGATATTATTAAATGTTAATTAAAAAAATAAAATAATTATTAGGGGAGTTTAATATCCAGTTTTTTATTTTTATTGTATAGGATTGTAGTGATTTTGTTTTTATAATATCATTTGGAATTTTATTATATAGGTAAGGAATTAAAAATTTAAAATTTCTACGTCCAAATGACTTGTTTGTTTTATATTTCAATGTTATGTTATTTTTATTTCTTATGTCATAGATATGTTTTTTAAACTGAATGTCCTTTTTATTTTTGAAAATATGAATCAGTAAATTGTAAATATAGAGTTGATTTATATCCATTTTCTTAGATTCCTTATATAAAAGTTCAGTTGGAAACAAATAATCTTTTCCATAAATAATTTTTAAAATCCATTTTTGTGCAATTTCCAATTTTCTCAAATATATCTGCTTCACTCCACCCCATCCTAATATCCCATAAACTAATTGAGATTGAACTAAAGCATAGTATATCATTTCTAAATTTCGAATATTCAATAAGTTTTTCAAATGTTTGAATTTAGGAATGAGGCATCTTATTTTCTTAGTGACATAATCAATATGATGATCCCATTTCAGATTATTGTCCACCATTATACCAAGGTATTTGATACAGTCAGTTTCCTGAATTTCAATTTCTCCATATATTTTGAATGATGCTATGTTTACCTATAGGTATATAATTATGTACTTCCTTATACCAGAGCCTATTCTGTCTGGAAGTTATTTGTTCAATAAATAAAAATAAAATAAATAAATAAATAAATAACCTCATGATGCAGCTTTGTAAGAATCTAAACCCTTATATGCTTTATTCAGTTGCTCCATACAAACAAACACAATTTCAATGAGAATGGAGCCAAATTTTTTGTTTACCCTCCAGGCGAGATGAACACGCCCACTTGGTCACGTGTCGCAGATGGTCGATTGTTATTTAGTGTGAGATAGTACCTGCAGGTGGCATGCTGTAAGCAATTGTTCAACATATCACAGCCGACAACCTATTCCAAAGAATAGTAGGTTCCTCTCCTCTTTGCCTATTCCTTGGATTTGGTGACGCCGGTGATGCACATACAGATATTTATAGAAATCCCAATTCATTAGATAAATAAAATATACCTATCAATGAGGAATATCAATTCTCTGGCAATGATTCTGAAGAGTTATCCCCATCATTCGCGATTCCATTCATTCATTCCTGTTAGGCGTCTAGGAATGTTGGCGTATACTTTTTAATGATTCCCGATTGAATCACGGTGTATAAATATTGTTATCTAGTGTGAGATAGTACCTGCAGGTGGCGTGCTGTCCGCAGTTGTTCAATGTATCGCAGCCGACGACCTTCTCTCTGCACTCGGTGATGCCGTCGCCCACGTATCCCGCTTTGCACGTGCAGTAAAAGGTTTCGTACTCGTCGTCGAAGAGGCACTCGGCGTGCTCGACACATGTGCCGCCGCCGCATGTGCCGGTGGCCAACACGCACTGGTGCTGGGTGTCCCTGGAGTACCCTGAAAATGGGACGATTCTGCTTAGTATTCAGGTTGGGTCCAGATGTTCCTGCAGGGTGTATATAGTTCATGCAAAGTCAGTTGGAAAAACACATCACCGCAAGCCGTCGGTCCCTTTGAAAGTTCAAAGATTGCGGCGGCATAAACTTTACCGTTCTCGATGTCCTTACGGGATATCTCGATTATTATTATAGATATTGATTTTCGGTTTTCGCGAACATTGGCGACTTTTTCATTAAACTCGCGATACCATGAACGGGATTTCCATAGACTGCTTCGTTTTTAAGATGAAATGTTGCGTTATATAGTTGACGCCATGACGCCTCGTAAGGCTGCAAATTGTAGTGGCCGCCTTTCAAACAGCAAGACTGTTTCAACAGGTCAATAATTGAGAAAGCGAAATCTACAAATGAAAATTGGAAGTTGTTTGATGTAGTGAGGTCGTTATTTGAAGAAGGTAATCTATAAATACCGTAAATCGTAGGTACAAGAATAATTTGAGGTTATTATAGGTTGAGATTCCTTTGAAACTTGGCATCTTCGTTTATGTCTATATACTATGGAATATAGTGGATTTTATGCTTATTAGTTTTATTCAGATGAAGAATATACCTATGTTATAATTATGTAATCAAATAATAAATATCCACAACTATTTGTAACTAGATCATTTGAACTGTTTTGCCAACCATCAAGGAATATAGGATCATGGGAAAGTGATTTCGAGTTTCACAATTTTTTTGTGATGTCGAAACCTGGAACTGATGCTTGGTAACTATTTCACGAGTAGACGACGTCGCTAAATGACGTTGTAACGACGTCGCTAAATGACGTCGCTTCGATGTAACATATTGACGTCACATTTACGTCTCTTTCACGTCGATAATTTGGTCATCTTGACGTAATTGGTGACGCGTATATGACGTGAAATTGACGTGTGAATGCTAGCTGGGTCAGCCTGTATACTTAGCTATAATGCTATTATTTGCATCTGATCGACCATTGAGTCCCATCATATGCCTAATTCTCAATATGCAAATACAAATATCACAAAATATAGTTACATAGGTACTTATAAGATTTGAGTATACAGTATGATGCAAATGTATGGAATAAATTCATTTCAAAACAAGACGACTTCCGAAAAAAATTCAAAAAGTAGAGTTCAGAACTTTTTTATCGATGTATTTTTTCAACAAGACGACCCTTCGATGTTCAATTCTCAGTAGAAGATCTCTGCAAGATTCAGTTAACCAAATGATAATCCATTTTAATTTCAATCTTCTTTTGCAAAATTTTGACTATTGGATAGACGATCAGTAGACCTTTCAAACGAGGTGTCACATGACCCCAGTTTGTATTTAAAAAAACCGTCCATTACGTCATTACTCCAACACCAGTGACGTAACATCTCTCATATGAATGACATGAGATGAGGTTTCAAAAATTGAAACTCACGTGTTTTTGGAATTTCTTCAAATGTCGCCCATTTCTGAAATAATGAATTTATTCCATACATTTGCATCATACTATAAGAAACAGGAACGAATAGTAAGAATGTACAACAAAAATACGAAACAAATAAAAAAAATTGAACGTAAGAAACAAGCTGTTATAACAAAGGTATATAAAAAATTTATCTGAATCAGATAAAGTTTTGTACTTTGTTAAAAGAAAATACCAAACGCCCGACGGAGACTGAGGCAACTGATATATTAATTCTTTCAACTGTGATCTCGCGCTAATTCACTCTGTCAGAAATCATGTATCATTCATCTCTGGCTGGAATAGTCTTGTTTCAGTATTAGGGTTTTGACGTCACATCATCGCCTCGTTTTCAGAGGTCCGAAAAATCGGAGATTTCAATAATTTTTTATAAAACGTAGGGAGCTCACAGCAAGAAACGGTTTGCGGTGGTGAGCTAGTTTGGGTGAGTTCTATCGAATTATGAAATAAAATTTGTTTGTGATATAAGCCCATTATGAGTGCTCCGTTTCATTTGTTGAGAACGAGGCCTATTTGAATAATGAACCGTCCATAAACTGAAAATTATATGAATACAGAGCAAATACTAATCTTTCTTCTACAGTTCTCAACACACCAAATGGACCACTCATAATTTGACTCTATATTTCGAAGACCTGTATTTTTTTAAAAAATTGACCGATCTTCATGCGGTTTTCGATATCAGATGTGATGTTTCATCGGCTTCGAAGAGAGCTAGCACACTCTGAAAAAATCCGCAGAACAAAACTTACACAGGGTGTAGAATGAATCCATTACACTATGGTCTACATTTCCAATGTTGCCAGAACTCGAGAAATTTTTTTCTGATCAAGACTCAGTCATATTATGATACACTGGTACCTCATCTCGGGACGACGTTTTCGTGATTCCTCCTCAATTAGCCATTGGAACAAAAATTACATTTTTTTTCCAAAGTCTTGCATTTCTTCAACTACACAGGATGATCAGAAAATAGGATGGCAGATCCCATATGGCAAACAAGTTTTCTATAGTTATTATGATCCAATTCTATTCAAAATTAGTATCTGGGTGGTTTTGGGGTGAGGGATTATCAATTTGTTCGTTAAAATTGTAAAATTCAAGATTGCCTATCCGAAATGGCAATCCAGCTCTGTAATAAATAGTAGATTGAAAAACTATGAAACACGCTTTTATTATATGGATAGCCAAACTAAAAAAAAAGTAGAAAACAAACAAATAAAAGTGTGTTGATAAATATTATTCAGTGTTCAGCCAGTAATATCGTATGTAATATACAGGGTGTCCTATAAGTCATGGATCAAAAGAAGTGGTGTGGTAAGTAGGGTCATTTCCAATCAAACTAACCACATATGTTAACCATATGGTTATCCAATTGCTGATGGTTGAAAAGTTATTGATTTTCTTCATTTCAATAAAAAAAATTAACTGCAATAAAACTAGGTCACATTTGTGATTTTTTCTTCACACATTTTATCCACGTGGAAGCACCTTTCCCCAGAAATAATTTCATGACGTTTTACTTCTTATCAATTTCCTAAAAAAAATGTTGTTTTTCTTAAGTTTTCTCATTCGATGAAATATTTAAGTTGATTTTTGAATGCAACAGGCAGATTTAAAAACTACCCCACAAAGATAACTAATTATTAGAAAATGTTGCCCATATAATACAGATTGCGAAATGGTATAACATATGGGGTTTTTCAAAACAGCCTTTTTGTTACAAATTTTCTTCAAATGGATCGCGTTTTTCAGAAAAATTGAATAACTTTCGAACCATCAAAAATTTGATAACCACACATACCGTTAGTTTGATTGCAAATGACCTCCCCTATACCACCTCATGACTCATGGGACACCCTGTATTTTCGAAAAGCGCCAAGCATTAAATCATGTTTTAAATGTGAAAAAAAATTGAGTGTGTTCTATTTGACAAAACATAACTCGCGTTATAAGTTTAAGTAAAAAATGTATAAAAGACAGTTTTCACTGTTTCTATTAGTTGAAAGATAGCAAAAACGGAAAGGGATATGGAAATTTCGTATGCGGGATGGAGATTTTTATAAAAAAGTAGCCCATGTTTGCGAGAACCGCAAACCTTCTTTAAAAATGTGCGAGTTACCCCGTAGGGACATCGAACTTGGGATATTTTGTACATTTATTTTTGAGAGCTGATTCGCATTCAACTGCTAAGACTGAATATCTGCGAATTTCTCGATTCGACAGAATTTACAGAAAGTTGCAGATCTTGTGAGCAGACATAAAATGATTTGTGTTTCATATTAGCTCTTCAGTACGAAGGCGCTGAAGTGCCACATACATTTTTTTTTAGTAATTTCGACTTTAATCTCGAAATTTCGATTTTAATCTCGAAATTTCGACTTTAAACTCGAAATTTCGACTTTAATCTCGAAATTTCGACTTTAAACTCGAAATTTCGACTTTAAACTCGAAATTTCGACTTCAATCTCGAAATTTCGACTTTAATCTCGAAATTTCGACTTTAATCTTGAAATTTCGACTTTAAACTCGAAATTTCGACTTTAATCCCGAAATTTCGACTTTAAACTCGAAATTTCGACTTTAAACTCGAAATTTCGAGATTAATGTCGAAATTTCGAGATTAAAGTCGAAATTATGACTTCCTGTACACTCGGGATGTTTACGTATTGTTACAGTCTCATCAGTTGAATGTTTGTCGTGTCTCTTGAAGTAATTGGAGTTGTGCAAAGGTCATTTTTTGTACCTATAAAAACGTATTTTCTGGTAGGTACCAGAGGAATTATATTATCGTGATAGACATAGATATCGTATAGAGTAATGAATGCCGAAGAACGAGAGTTGATTACTCAGTATTTCACTATGGGTCTTCGATACGATGAAATTCTACTATTTTTGAGTAGGATACATGGAATTCTGATCAGTATGCGTACTTTGAAGCGCAAATTGCGATCCCTCAACCTCTACAGGAGAAGAAACTACACTGATTTGGATGAAGTGATCCTTTATTTACGTAGTGAACTAGAAACATCCTCTCAACTGCACGGATATAGATGGATGCATTCAAAATGTATTCAAAATTCTTTCGTTGTGAAACAAAATACTATTCGACTCCTTCTTCAAGCATTAGATCCAGAGGGTGTTGAAATTCGGAGAAGAAAGAGACTACGAAGAAGACAGTATAGAAATAAGGGTCCTAATTATTTATGGCACATGGATTCTTATGATAAATTGAAACCTTACGGAATTGCTATCAATGGCTGTATCGATGGATTCTCACGTCACATTATTTGGATGCAGGCAGGTTCGACAAGTAATGATCCGAAAGTCATCGGCGGGTACTACATGAACGCTGTACAGGATCTCAATGGATTTCCTTGCATTATTAGAGCAGATATGTTGACAGTTATATCTGTCAATTATAAAAAAAATATCATGTGGCGCTTCTACGCTTTCGTAGGTTATAAAATATTATTGAGGAAGAAAATATCATTTCTGGAAGAAAAAGGAGACTACCATAAATGAACCTTCATCTGAGACTACTTTTAACATAACTCGGCCTGAATGATTCATTTTCCGAAAAAGTATATTTTTCGAAAGATAATTTGAGAGAAAACAGAAAATTATTACCTATATTATAATATAAGTAGACTTCTTTTAACCTAACTCGGCCTAAATAATTAATTTGAACTTAATTATTGTCAAGCATGGTGTACTATACCTAACTAGTCCATCATACCTCATCATCAAAGTATTGATATAAGTAAATACCAGTGACTTGTTGAAAAATGTTAATAAATTGAAAACGAATTAAGTTACCTATATTCTTTATTATTTCAGCCATACTTACCAAACTTTTTTAGTTGCTACCTATTATAAGTTGGTATCTACCAATAGTTACTCAAACTTATCAATTCAATTTGAATCAGAAATGAAGTAAGTATACCTAATAATTTTCCTTTTGTCCTGTACAGAATAAATATCCTACACCTTGCATCATTTTCAAAGTGTTTCACGTTCCTGTAGAGATGAGAAATCTTCTCCTGATGAGTAGTCATATTTTGAGCCTCGTAAATTACCAGCATTTATATCACCAATTACTTCCTATTTTCAAGAGGTAATATCGTGCACCTAGCCTAGATTGGAATAAATCAGGAAATTCGCCTATGACATTTAAAACTACGGGAAAACATTCCTATAGCTCCTGGCTTAGATTGACCTTGGCTACCGCGAAATAGACATTTGGTTACGTCACGTTGGGCCACACCCGAAATTTCGAGTTTAAAGTCGAAATTTCGAGTTTAAAGTCGAAATTTCGAGATTAAAGTCGAAATTTCGAGATTGAAGTCGAAATTTCGAGTTTAAAGTCGAAATTTCGAGATTAAAGTCGAAATTTCGAGATTGAAGTCAAAATTTCGAGTTTAAAGTCGAAATTTCGAGATTAAAGTCGAAATTTCGAGTTTAAAGTCGAAATTTCGAGATTAATTCGAAATTTCGAGATTGAAGTCAACATTTCGAGTTTAAAGTCGAAATTTCGAGATTAAAGTCGAAATTTCGAGTTTAAAGTCGAAATTTCGAGATTAAAGTCGGAATTTCGAGATTAAAGTCGAAATTTCGACTTTAAAGTCGAAATTACTAAAAAAAAATGTGTGTGACACTTCAGCGCCTTCGTACTTCAGACATGAAAAATGTGTACTAACTTTTTGAAGAGCATCAAACGCCATATCTTTATGATTTCAAATAAACAATAACCGGAATCAAAATTATGTTGCTTACCTTCTTTACATACACATTCGTATTGCTGTGCACTTGTGAACGAACATTCTTCTCCCGGGGAGCAATCTTCGTTGGAAGAACAAGTTTCTGGAAAAAAATAGACATTTATACTTCCTTCAGGATATAGTACAGATATAGGTCTCCCGTCCCTTCGAGCTTACTGCATCATGAAGAGGTAAAAATTAGAATTGAATTATTCTTGTATTCATTGGCATTTAGCCAGGAACCGAGAAAGAATCGATATTTTCATCACATAGAGAATGCGAATTCTCAATGTATTTCTTTATACACAGGGTGTATCTAAATAACATCGAAAAAATTCAAGGGCGATTCCTCATGACACGAGACAATACAACTTTTTTCATCTTGATTCTGCTACTTCTATAATTGGCAAAAAAAAATCACTCACGCTGCTATAGCTGAATTCAATGAACTACCACATGATATAAAAAATTGCAGGCATATTTCAGAATTCAAAATTGAATTAAAAAAACACATGATTTTATTACGTAATGGATAAAATTGATACTTTGCCATCTACTGATCAATCCCTGTTGCTATTTTTATGACTTGATCGATTTAGCATTTTTAGATTTTTTTGTTGTTATTTGTTGTTATTTTATCATTGTTTCGAAGAAAAAACAAAATAACATTAAGTCAGTCCACTTGTTTTCCCTCTAATTTGTGCAGAAAATTACAGAATTTATGAAGAACCACTGCAGTCGGCACATACTACTGTCGTTGTACTATGCCAATTTCCATTCCCATATAAAGTACGGGATGAGTAGAGTACTGGATTCAATTTGAATTCTTGCTAGTGTTGATATGAGAACAAGTTGCAGTTCATAAAAATAAAAACATGTTTTTGAATACTGTTGAAAAGCACAATCATAATACACGCTTCAAAAGCACCGAACATAAACAGAGACGTTTATTTTATGTCTTCGGGATGAAATCCAGTGTTTTAAAAAACTTTTTATTTCAATTACAAGCGATTAAGACATATGGTGAATTTCTTCCGAGAGCTTCATCTCGTACTTGGATGTTTCGTACTTGCTGTTCGAAAGAGAATTAAAAATATCTCATCATGAAAAGATCCGCATAAGGCCTAGACAATGAGCTTTTGTTACTTACGCGATAAGAATAATCCAGTACAGGATGCTCTCGTATATGTGACATGATATTTATTACAAGGTTAATTTATTTATATCCATGCCATAGAAAAAGGAATAATAATTATATTATAAGTCCAGAGGGTATCTTCATGTAACATTTATGTTCGGTGTCAAAAGCTACCTTCAACCTGAGAGACACCGGACTACGTTGTACCAGAAAAGTTTCTATTTTACTGGCTGTAAATTATAGTATATTATTTAAAGAGCGGTAATGTATAGGTCATAACTCACGCAGATGAAGTTTGCAGCACGAGCCGTAGGCGAGTGCTGTAATTCATCAAGTGAGTTATGACCATTACCGCAAGTTGAATACTATGCTTCATCTATGCCTATTACAATAAATAATGAGTTACAAGTACAGAGGAAGAACTTTATTGACAAATCTTAATATACTTAATACACATTTTAGTTTCGATCACTCATTTTGTTTATTGATAAAATTGACTGTGAAGTTTGAACAACCAGTAAACTGAATATTTGGAACTGAATTATGGAAGTTTATTGTTTCTTTTTGTGTTTGTTGCATATATGTTGTTGATGTACTAACTGGTTGAGCTGTTATCGAACTGTATATTTTATTTGCAGTATCTGTCTTATTCTTTTCGGAATCATCAACGTATCCCTCAGCCACAGTAAATTGATCGCCAACCGCCATGGCGTTTCAGTGCCGTTATATCCCCTCCAGCATCTACTAATAAAGTTGCCGACGAGCGGCGAAAACAATGTCCTGTGTATACAAATTATATATAGTCTGGTAGTTTCAGAAATGTGGCAATGTCTTTCCCCATTGCTCCAAAGGACCCCGCACTAAACTATAGGGAAAATGGCTCTCGATGAAAATCGCTGAATTTTCGGTATGTTGCAGACATTGATATACTGATCAGACATTCCATTGAACTAACCTCAAAAAATGGACAGTTTTTCTGATATTGACCTCCAAATGTCATTTTTTCAAAAAAAAAAAGTATCTGAAAATGGTTGAATTTTTGACATGTTGTAGATAGGAATAAATTGATGAAAAAATCTAATTGACATAACCTCCAAAAATTGACAGTTTCCTCAATATTGACCTCCAAATGTAATTTTTCAAGAAAAAAAATCTCTGAAAATGGCTGAATTTCTGGTATGTTGTAGATCGGAATTAACTGATAGAAAAATTCAATTGACCTAACTTCAAAAAATTGACAGTTTTTCGATATTGACCTCCAAATGTACGTATGGAAAATAAGATGAATGGAACAAAAATCAATAGACAAAGTTGCTGTTGGTATTGGTATTTGGCATTTCATTCTCCTAAAAACAAATCTTCTTCATATGATACACCCACAGGTGAAGAACGCCGAAGAGAGGATGTAATGAAATATATATCATTCAAAAGATGGTTATAGTATAGTCTTTCCGGAGTCAATGGGGTTGAAGGTATACACACTAGTCGAATTTATGCCATATATCTATTTTATTTCGATCATTCCATCTATTATAAAAGAAGTCGATACACTCATTCATTACTTACAATAATACCAAATATATTTTTTTAAATAATCAGAATAATCACCTCTCAGCAACACTTTTTCCGCAGATGACGTGACATTGACATATCAATCCGATACCGATAAACACTTTTAGATTTTTATTGCTCAACAACCAATGAGAATATTTCCAAATTCTTCATAGAATTGAGGATTTATTTTCATAGTCGGAGTGGAGTGTTGTGTACTGAAGTATACACAATACATAAATCGTATCGTATAGTATAATTGCAATGAATTGGTCGCGGTATAGAACGTCATCACGCGTTGTCCCTCGAAAAAGGTTTGCGACAGTGAACAACTTTGGGTTAGCTCTTCAAAATTATGGAATAAAATAAAATATTTGCAATGGATTGATCCCGGTATATGACGTCACGCGTTGTTTCGCAATTTTCATGTAATGAAATATCGTGAATTCCAATAGTTATTCACAATATGTACACGCGTTGTCCCGCGATTTTCATGAGATAAAATATCGTGAATTTCAATAATTATTCGCAATTGACAAGTGAACAAGTTTGGGTTAGTTCTTCAAAATGATGAATGAAAATGAAATATTTTCCTGAAACAGGCCCATCTACTCACCTATATGAGGATGTTCAGGTAAATATGTTTGAAAATCGAAACTGCAACATAGTTTAATCGACTCATTTTTCTAGTAGGTTTACTCATGAATTTCTGAGGATGCCCCATAATAAAGGACGAAACGTCGATGATGATGAAGCATTATTTTTCCCTGACTCTCCTAACCTTGGAATTGTACAGAATAACATTCTGAAGGTTTACTTTCATACAGTTGCTTGAATGCCATTTAGGGGTCAGTAGCAGTAAAACTGTCAATTTTTTGAGTTAAGGTCAATAGGGTTTTTTCATCAGTTCATTCATATCTACAACATACCTACATAATCCAGCCGTTTTATAGATTATTTTTCGAAAAAATTAGATTTTGAGGTCAATATCCAAGAAGTGTCAATTATTTTTTTGAGGTTAGGTCAATTGAATTTTTCCATAAGTTCATTCCTATCTACAACATACCAGAATTTCAGTCATTTTCAGAGATATTTTTCTTGAAAAAATTCTATTTGGAGGTCAATATCGAGAAAACTGGCAATTTTTGGAGGTTAGGTCAATCGGATTTTTTAATCAGTTCATTCCTATCTACAACATGCCAAAAATTCAACCATTTTCAGATATTTTTTTTTTTTCGAAAAAATGACATTTGGAGGCCAATATCGGAAAAACTGTCCATTTTTTGAGGTTAGTTCAATGGAATATCTGTTCAGTATATCAAAGTCTGCAACATACCAAAAATTCAGCGATTTTCATCGAGAGCCATTTACCCTATAGTTTAGTGCGGGGTCCTTTATTAATGCCAATTCTTTGTGAGTGATATTTTCCATTTTGAAATTCAATGAATAATATATCGTTTGCGATATATCGGTAGGACGAAGATTTAAATATTTCTTAACTATGGTATAAAAAGTTCCCATAACAGTGAATTTTCTGGCAATTTTTGTTTTTGTATTCGGTACACTGACCATAAAAATAGATCCATGATCTTCTAAATCTGTGATTTGCATAGAGTGCAATTCTGCTGCACGACAAGCACCCATCCCAACAAACAATGAACTATACCGGGAAGTTATTGGCCCAATGCTTTCTCTGCTGGGGGAATGACTTCAGCGGCAAAAATCAGTTGGCCTTTCACATTCTTGCAGTCACTTTGCCAGTGAAGCAAATAAGTTTTGGCCCTTCACCGTTTCAATGACTTTGGTGTTGCCGGGAAATACAATAACTTCGTTTACTCAATCTTTAAAAAGGCCAATGCTGGGCATTCATCCTATTTGTTCCAGATAACACTGTTATGGTCATTGGGTATTCTCCCAATCATACGAAAGGGAAAACGATGAAAGAAATCATATTCCTTAAAAACTTGGAATGTATGTTCCAAGAATTTTTTCATATTTGAGAATGATCATAAGATGGGATTATTATAGGATCATCATATAAGATCATTTCAATAAAGTCGTGAGTATATGATCTACAAAAATTTGTGATTTTTTGACATATGACTCAAAACATTGATGAGTATGAGTATGATATCTGCATTATTGATTTGAGACTTTGAAGAACTTTCAGTGAAGGATGCTTTTTTCCTCATTTTTTTCCGCAAAATTAATAATAAAATAGTTTGCCATATATTAATCGATCAGAAGTTATTGTAAGAAATAATAATACATGATATTCTCATCGTGAATAGATGTTATCAGATATTTGAACGTAGTTTTCCGTAGTTTTCAATTCTAGTCAACTTTTTTATATAATAATGATTCTCGATATCATCGAAAATAAAAACGGTACATTATTTACACTTGAACAAAAT